GCCCTCAGCTGTCTTTCCCACAGTGTGATCCTATCTTTGGAGTAAAGAACTGGGTCATCATATAATCAGGGGTGTCACAAGAAAGTGCCATGCTGAGCATAAGAGAAAATTAATGGAAAAGCAGAACTCTCCTGACCTCGCCTTCATCTATTATTTTTCTCATTTCCTCTGTACGTTCCCAATCCTAGCCACCATAACATCAGAAAACAAATTTTTAAGAGGTTTAAATGTCTAAATGCGAGCATACATTTCTGAAGAAGCATTAAAAACATCCATCTATCTAGAAGTCATTAATTTCTCTGATTTCTTATTAACTAAAAATTATCTGCATAGACAGTTTTGGAATCCAAGCACGTGTATTGATGTGCAGTTCTCAGCACCTACAGACCACCGCAGTTTGCTCTTGCAGTCAGCGATGAAAGCGAAGCACACTGCAGAGACACAGAAGCTGGAAGCAGGCTTGGTACAGCCACAGCCCTGCACCCTGCTGAATGACCTGTGCCCTGAACATCCTCTCTGCCTTTGTGATACATCCCCTATGTGCACAGACATATCCAGGAAAAAACCTCCTATAGCACAGATGTGCTTGGACTTTTTCTGATTAAGCAGCTAACCAGAAGCACCTGCAGAAAACTGCATTTTAACAGAATGTCATAGGAGGGACACCTTTTACCCAGAATGAGAATTCACACTACAAATAACTTAAAAAAACCATCACCACCAGCAAAAAAAAAAAAAAAAAGGTTCATCTGATAAAATGTCAAATACAGGGATAGCAAGACTGAAAGAGCAAGCTTTTTTTCCCTAATGCACACTCAAATTCCCATCCTGGGCCAGCAAGCCCAAACCTATGATAACTTGGATAAACATTACAGAAGTTTTCATTCTGACAGTGAAAGTCCACTTTCAAAAATGGATTACTTTTTGCAGGAAGCTAACCCTAAAACCTATTTCTCTAAGGATAAAAACTGTTCTCATATCCAACTCAATGTTTTACTTGGAAGCCATTGTTCAGTCCAAAGATTGGCTGAGCTATGGCCATGCAGCTAACCTGCCTGTCAGGGACTGCCCCAGCTTCCAACAGGCTTGCATCACAACCCATCTGACCATCACAGCACAGACCATAAGATTTATTTCTACTCAATGCAGTAAGAGCTAGCATACTGAATCTTACTGCAGGAAGTAGACCTTTACCAGTTATGAAGACCATATTCAAAGGACAGAATGTACTTTAAACAAATAATGCTTAAATTGTAATTGTGAAGCATTACTGTTTTAAGTTTACACTCATGTTTTTACAATTACATCACTCAAGACTTGCAAGACAATATTTAAATCAGCCAAGCAGTCTGAGTAAACATAGTGTATTTGTGAGATTTTGTTACTCCTACCAGCATTTGTAGTAGTTACGGATTTGAACACCATTGTGTCCTGCACTGTTGAAGCAAAATAATGTCTGGTATCTGTAACAGCAAAAGGATTGATTCAGAATGAAAAAAGCCTGTTTGAAAGACAAGGAGTACCAAAGGAGGAAGATGGGGACAAGTAGAAGGAGGAAAGAGAATACAGAAAGGTCCCACTTAACACTGACCTCCACAGTGGTCAGATACACAGGTTCTTTTTGGTCCGCTGCTAAATTAGAACACAACTGCTGAGCTATCAACCACATAGTAATAAAAATTTTGAAAATCTCTGCTGACCTAATTACTTTCACTTGGATGTACTGAATGTTCCTGATTACCAAACAATTTCATCAGGTTCAATTTACATTGCTGGAAACTACTAGCACCAGCTCAGTTCTCAAAGAGAATTTGAACATAACTTTATTTTCCTTATACGTGTCACAGAAATGGGATTGGTGAACTGTAAATGTAAGAGCAATTTGAAAAAAAATCCAGCATGATAAGAATAATTGTGGGTTAGATGCTGCAAATTTCTAAGCAGGTTGAAATCTCATAAACTAGGTATTGGTTGTTTTGTTGATTTTCTTTAAATAACATTTTTTATTTCAATAAAGCACCTCCTACACACTGCTGGCATAGAGGATGCTGCCTCAGGAATTGTAGAAGAACTCAACTTGAGCTTGTCTTAGAACAAAAGTTCCATTATTTTACTAATAATATTCCAATAGCTAGGGTTAATTCCATTACAAAAGATGAAGGGACATTTCCTCCATTCCACATAAGCATGAAATTCTTACTGCAATTCTTATTCTTTCATGCACTCTCATAAAAATGATGATCTTATCAAAGATTATTTCATAGTTGAGGTAGTATTTGCAAAAGCCCCAAAGCAAGAACCATGAAAGACAGAAGCTCTTATGATGCTCAAATCAGTGTCAAGGAGGACAATTTTGCACCTGGATATATTGCATGAGTTCTGGTACTGTGGAAAAGCTGGTCAGAGTTCCAGAGTTATGAATGACCTCTGCAATAAAAGCAAAGGTTCAGCTTCTTGACTTAATGGCTATTATTCCTGAAATCCACTAAAAATTCCCTAATATATATTTTGATTCATTCAAATAAATAACCTGTATATTAATCCATTTAAAGGACACATCAGTACGAAATCCATCACCCAAAAATATTCTATGTACTAAAACTTTAAGAAGACTTTACAACAAGAAATTAAGAGGTAGCTGAGCAAAGATGCTACTCATTTTTTAATTTACTCTCCTGCTTGGGTACATACCAAGCTAGGCCAACATCTCTGTTTGCAGCTGGGACCACACATAACCCAGGGGTCTCTTTTATTTCACAATATTATTGGAACATTATTAACTAAATGCATCAGGAATAACAGAAATTGAAATTGTTTCCTGAATTCTCATCAATGGATGCCTTGGCTACAGTGTCACTGCCAAACATTTCTTTCTTTCCCACTAGTTCCCATGCTCTTCTCCCAGTACCTTTTCCATTGCCATTGCTCCCACTTGCTTTTGGCTGCTGTAGTGATGGAGAGATTATTAAATGGTCATCAGATGGTCACTGAACAAGCAAGCAGCACATTCTTTTTCTATGGAGAAGGAGTAGCTTATGGATTGTATCTCAGATGACTTATTTTATTAATGATTAAGAGGTGCTGCATGGAGGATTTCTTCCATGTGAAGTATTATTGCACTTGAGTATTCTTCCAGGGAATATTTCGTTTCAGTTTTTTTGTGTTTCTTTAGAGCAATTACCCAAATGTTAAGATCTTTTGCTGCTGTAGTTACTTCATTAGATTCTCCTGGCCAAACACCTACACAGGCTAGCAAAGAGCAGAACAAGAATGAAGCATCTGCTTTTCTGTTTTTCCTCTTCACATTTTGTCAGTTATTTCCTGAAGCTGTTTGTGCTGCACTTAAGAAATGGGTAGAGTTCACCAGAGAGCAAACAAATCAATTACTGAATGTTCTAGTCAGACATTAGAGAGCTGAAAAAAACCATAAATTCTTTTCCTGTTCTTCTGAACTGGGCAGAGATACCATGGTAATTTTTGTTAATGATAAGTTTTTCATGGTAACTTCTTATAAAACTAGGCCTTGAAGCTTAGCAACTCATTAGAGCTGTGAGTGACAACACTGTAAAGAGGAATGTATCTCATTATGGCCACAGCATGAATGGAGGACCTAACTCATGAGGTAAGCAAGGTCAAGGAACACAACTAGCATAGAATCAGGAAAAATTTATTTTAAAGATTTTCATGGGAGGTTAAATTGGTCCTATTCATAGAAAAAATCCAACACAAAAAGTCTTTCCTTTAACTGATAGAATCTCTTTCCAAAACTAGCTGATTTCATCTAGGCCAAATATTGGCATGACCAAAGTTCTCTGTAAATCTGATTTATAACAAACCTTGTCACATAAACACTCAGGAGGCACTTTTTTTCCCAAATAAGAAGTACAAATACAAGAAGATGGAAAACAGACTAAATGAATACATTTGTCACTGACATACAAATGCAGACAGAGATGTCACACAGAAAAAAAAAAATCAAATATACCGTATTTACTGAATGTAATTGGCTTTAAAATCACTTTTGCTATACCAGTACTTAGATTAAAACAGAATCTAGAAATCCCACTGCTTTAATAACAAATAAGATCAATAATTTTGCAAGATCCGTGAAGAAAACCTTCCAGAAAGAACCAATAGGTAAAGGAATTGCAAAGAGATCCTCATTTATCATCTTCCCCCTTCTCCATTGTCCTTGAGTTTTTTTAACTCCTGTTCTCTGCTGCTTTTATAAACTGCCTAGTCGTCCTGGTGAAATGACATTTCTATCCAATTCAAGAATTTTAGAAGTGAACAGATGTGGTTTTACCACAGTCCTTTGCACTCTTCAGCTCATGGCAAGTAACAATACTCAAACAGGTGTATTGCACAGACACAGTGAGACAGACACAAGAGTCATCTATGTACCCATTTTCCTTACTTCATAGCTAACAGACTATTTTGTGTAATAGAAATTCTGTCTTTATGTGCAATTCCTTAATAAAATATGTACCAAAATATACAGCTGCATAATTTCTACATATACTGGCAAGTATGTACTCTGTAATCCATAGCCATTGCTGATGCAGGTATCCAAATATGTCTGTATTCCCATTAGTATGGTGGGATGTGGGGAGAAAGAGCAGGAGAAGAATATTATTTTTCAAGTCCTATTCTGTAGAAATTAGATATCAAAGTCAGATATCTATAAAATCAGATCATAATGTGTGGCAATCCTGATACTCCACTTGTGATCAAGTAGGCCTTGCCTTTTCTATATGCATTATTACAGCAACCTGGAGGCAATTACAGCTAAAACTTTCAGGAGAAAGCAATTTTTGTAAAAGTAATTTAACAGTGCAGAAACCAAAAAAGTCAGAATCATGAATCTTGGATCTTACTCAGTCATGAAGCCAAAGCCAACCACCATACAACACGTTTCATTTTAAAGCTGTGTCACAGAAACTGAGTTGAAAAACAGAACTCTGTAAGCTAATTCCAGGAATGCTGGTTTATTTACCCACCGTAGCTTCTGGTTATACTGCTTGACTTTTTCCAGTGAGGCAGCATTAATCTGAGCTTGAAATTCTTCCACTGAGACACTGTCTCTGTAATAGTATCCTTCCATGCTCTCCAAAGCTGTGAAAAGAGAAAGGAGAGTGGAAAAGAGAGAGATCAGTATTAAATATTTAATAATTGCCTTCTTTATAGTTTTGTTCACACACAAGTGAAGTACTTTTTAACCCTGAGGCTGTGACCCTACTGTGAATTGCTGAGCTGTTTCCATATGTCATCAAATTCATACAGATCTCTCTTAAAAATTTCATTTACAAGAAAAATTATATTTCTTGCCCTGTGGAAAATATAAAGGAGAGCACTAATTTGAGTTCCTTTGCTCTAATTAATGTATTCCTGCCTTTTGAATGCAAATGCGAGGTTTAATTCTGATATATCCTAGAAGAAAACAATAGCATGAGCTGGGGTAGAGGAAATAAAGGATCAATGTAACTTTCACAGAGGGAGACCTAATAACTTCTCATGAAGCCCGATTCTGGGAGATGTGGAGCACCTCAAAAATGTGAAGCTCCCTAACTAGAGGTTCCTCTAGCTGTACCCACTGATAATGTGAAAACTTTCTTTTAGATCAAGTAATGCAAATTTTGCTGGATCTCTGAAAATGGCCTAAAAGTTCCTTTTCAATATAAGTGAAGTCAAATACTTGTCTGTGTCCAACTTTGCTGCATTCATTTCACCAAACCAAGGATTAATATTGCCACAAGAACTCAGGAACTAAACAGAAAATTTAATGAAAGGATTCTCATGAAAATTTGGACTGAAAATATTAAGATCTTCATTTTAAGAGGTCAACCACATTAAAACATAAACTCCAACTCTTGGTGAAACACAATTGTTTTTTTTTGGAGAAGCGTTAAAGGCTTTACAATTAGGAACATTGCCACTTTAGAAATCCAAACACATTCTAAGAACTCATCACCCCATCAGAAAATGCAAGCCATAAGCAGAGTTTTCATGGAAACATGCTGCTGTCTTACAGCTTCAGCTGCACACAGAATATTAATTCTGCTTGTATTGCTTAATATGACCAGTTAATAAATAATTCATTCATTGTGAAAGAACATGCAAATTGCACACCCCTTCTGTGCTTTCGCAGTTTGTAATTCCACTTCTGTGCAAAAAAATATTAAGTTTCAACAGTCAGACTTGATTCTTCTTTGGTTCTAAGTCACACCAGACAGCTCAAACAAAAATATCCACTGCACTCCATTTATAACAGCGTGTTAACACAAACAGAATTGATAATCCTTACTGCTTATTTTACTGGCATGAAGTTGGTTTTATTCAATTAGATCACCCAACCGGGAAAAACTCAGTCATCTGTGAGGACTGGCAGGAGCACAGAGTTCTGCCTCTGCGGGCCCACGCTCACAGGTGCAGGCAGGGACTCCCACGCTGCGTGCTTCATCTCTGCCCTCTCTGAAGGGCTCAATCTTTCTACTATTAGACAGTTCTTTTGCAAGGAAGCTTTCCTTACAAAAAGGTCTTCTATGGTATTCTTCAATCCAAGATAGGATATTATGTTCTGAAGGCACATAATTGGGAAAGCAAACGGGAAGAATGGGTGGAATCAACGGGTAGTAGCTAACGGGACATGGCCTGCCCAGGGGCCCACTAGAAGCAGAGCATCACAGGTGTCTCTGTTGAATGTGTCTTTATCACTGACATGGAGGAAGTAAGACACGTTTGCAGCTGATGCCAAACAGGGACAAGCATTGGACTGCACCCAAGTGCAGGGCCACATAAAGGGCCAGGCTCTTCACAACGGTACAAGCTGAAAATTCACACAAATTGAAGTAAGAAATTCCACAGAGAGAAAAAACTTTTTCAACTAGGGCAGTCAAGTAGAGTAACAGGCTTCCCAAGAGGTTGTACAGTTTCTGTCCCTGAGTGCTTGCAAAATCCTCCTTGTTAGACATCCAACCCCCCGGTTTAATGCCACAGCTGTTGCTCTTATGAGTGGGAGGTTGGAACAGAGGTCTCCTGAGGTCCCTCCCAATCTGAATTATTCTAACACTCTGTGAAGAACTAAAAAAAATTTTTAAAGCTACACATAACTAAGACACTATGTAACAATTCTAAATAAACAGGATTTTCATTTAAAATAATGTCTTTAAATTTATGTGGAGATCTTATGTCTAATGTAGGAAATAGAGCAATCTAAATGCCAATAGCAATATCTCAACAGCCCCAGCCTCAGTCCTGCATACCAGGATCCTTTTGAATGTGCACACATTCAGGTATGTGGTTGAACAAAACTTTTTTCTACTAATAGAGAGATAGATAATACAGATTGGGTAAACAACAAAAAAAACTTCAAAAAATATTATAGTGCTAATCATGTAAATATGTTGACTTGCAATTTTAGGCATGGAGCTATGACAGTGAGAACAGAGAAACACAGAGATAAACAGTCTGATATGCACTGACCTGTGCCTTTGACAAAATAGCCCAAAAACAAGATTTTCTAAATGTTCCGTTTGAAAATACCATCAACCACTGTATTTTAGGCAGGAAACAACTTACCTATGTTTAGATTGGGGGAACAAAAATTCACTTCACAAAGAAACGTAAATAAGATTTCTACATTAGTAGCTAATAAATTTCAGTTACAGATGGGAATCTACTGAGTTAGTTTCATGGCAGGTCAGCCAAACCTCATAGGAAAAAAGTGAAAAATAGAATCCCAATCCACTCATTAATGAGGTAAAAAACCCTCAAAATAATGATTTTTACACTAGGATTTAAAGACTTATCCAGGACTACTTATTCTTGGAATCCAATGGACTATTTTAGAGAATGATGGTTGAAAATTAAATAAATTTGATAGGATAAAGAAAGAAGAAACTTTCCATTCTACTGAAAAATATTAAGCAGATGTAAACACTTGAATGGATCCTTATCCTTTTATTTTAGCCGACTACAGAGATGCTTATCCTAAGAATCAATTTTCTTCTCCTATTGGAAATAGAAGCGGAAAAAATTTTGCTAAATAAATCCCGTAGCACACTGAATCCCCTCCCCAGTCTAAAAAAACTAGTATTTCCAGGAATTCAGCTGAACCAAGGTATTTTCTGTTCTCTCTGAAGTGCTTTTTTGCCTGCTCTACTGAAATTTGCCTCCTGCTCAGTGTTCTCATTTCTCCCTATGACTGAAATCAATCTATTCAAAAGAAAACCACTGAAGTCTTCATTATTTTGTTTAAAAATCTAACTCCAGGGATCTCATTTTTTAAAAAATTGTGTGTTTTAACTTTATACTAAAAGCTCAGCTATTTATTTATGTTTCTGTGCACTATTTTCTTTTACATCTTCCTTGTCCATCAGAGACCAAGCTCCCCTCTAAAACTTCATTTGTATGCCTGACTTCTGCCTATTCCACACAGACCCTGGAAGCTTTTCACAAGGTGTGGAGTATTTTCAGCTCCCTGTGAAATCAAAGGCGGTTCAAGGCAATCAGCAGCTCACATTCACCATTTCTGTGGAGCAAACTTCACGCTCCTGATGACTGTAATGACACTGCAGCTAATGCAGGCTGCCTGGAATTTATGAACAGTTTGAGCGCCAGCGCCACCATTCCTCACTTTGTAATGTTTGCAGAGCAATAACTACATAAGCCTGAGAATGCTATTTAACTCTTCATAACATTTTCAGGAGACAGAATTCTCAGGGGGATAACAGCTTAGTCCTCAAATACGAAGTAATGGGAAAAGACTACGAAAGCATTTGAAAAGCAAAACACTTTTAAGGGCAAGTTTCATGGTCTGACTATTGTCCATTAATGGCTAAAAAGAACAAAACAATATTGATAAATGAAGATTCACTCTTTGTGGTTGGAATCATGTAACTGGCATAAACTTAGAAATTTATAACCATGCCTCTATTTTTTATTACAGACATCCGAATTTCTTCAATTTACATTTTAGTTCAAAGTCCTCAAAAAATGCTCACGTTAAACAACATCTAAATATAAGCATTGTACCCTTATGACTACAGAGGACTCAAATCAGAGTAAATAAGTGGAGTTTAAAGAGAGTTAACTATTATGTGAAAAAAGCAGGGCAGGGTGAATTTAACCTCAAGTTACCTTGTGAAAAAAGCACTGGGTGGATTTTAAATCCTCCTCCATTCTTCAGCCTTTGCGGAAGCTGTTCAAAGTGGTAACCATCAAGGTAGAAGTAAACCTTCAGAGTTTGCCGGCTTCCTTCTGCTTGGTATGTGATTGGTACATCTAAAAATACAGTCAGTTTTACAATTCGATTGTAAGCAATGACACATTCTTTTCCAGAAACTGCTGCACACAAAATTCATGCAGTTAGATTAAAAAAATCACTGCAGACACAACATTCAGTATTTTTCATTATATATTGTTTCCATAGATAAGTCTCCAAGTTGAAAACAGTAACAAACATAGTGACTTGCATTACTATTATTATTACATAGAGGAGTTTTTACTGTGAGCATAAATCATTGTAACTAAATGCTAAAGATTCCAAGCAACATTTTCACTACTTATGGTAACAAGAAAATACTTATTTTCTCTTATTGATTATGCAGAATCATAACTGAAAAAAATAAAATTTTGCCAGTTCTTGGGCTACTGTAAACATAGTCACTGTGACTGTGGTGGCAGCATTTAAACCAAAAGAAAACACAGAATTCATTGCAATCCTTGAGCACATGGCATTCCTGTTTATTAGCACAGACACCTCAGTTGAAAGACCCTGCAAGATGAACAGTTCATGACAGCATTAACTCCACATTAGGAGGCCCTCCTGGAACCGCATTTCCATGTTGTTACTGGGTTTAGCAGGGCTTCTTTGAAAACACTGAGCAGGGACCGTACTTGAATCAAACCAAAATAACTGTGGTCTTAAACAGGCTAAATCCTACCTGACTCTCAGCCCTGTGCTACTGAATTCTCCCAGGCAGAGGCAGTTTTGTGGAGTAGCTTTGTGTCTTCTGGTTTTGGTTACTGCAGAAGTTCTCTCCAGTGTGGTCTTAATCCAGCAAAGGAATTGTTTCAGAAGGGCTTGATGTGAAGCAGACATGCTTTCCTCCCTTCCCAGGGGACTTATGAGACAGGAAAAAAATGAGGCCTTTTTGCTCACTAAACAAAGTTCACTGCAGGACAATATTTACTGGCTGAACGTACATTAATAAAGGAATGGCTGAAAATGAGCAAAGTGTGTGAACAGCAGACTGCAAAGACAGTCCTTTCCTGCTGAGTTGGGCAAGTTTTGTGAGGAAGGGTTCAGGACCCTGATAGTCTGCAGCAGCAGGTCTCGGAGAAAGGTTCTTGCCAAATTTAAAGTGATCCTAATAGTGCCTGTCCTGTCCTCTCAAGAAACTCCTCAAAAAGCCATTTATTTTTCACACAACAAAATGAAATGTGGTTTATGCTTCTTTGTCTTATATCAGTTGCATTTCCCTACCAAGACCTTCAAGCTATTTTTACACGTTTCTTCAACAACAGCTGGGTCTTCCAGGGACTTTCCTGATGCAGTCACATTCTCCCAATGTTCATACTCCCAAAATTCAGCTAAGCAAACAAGTTTTCCCCCGGGGTTACTGACGTTGCCAGATAATGATTCTGCAGTGTCACCGATGATAGCAGTATTTCAGTACATCTAGGAATATGAGGAGAGCTATACATCTACTTATTCTCCATAATTCCAACTCGCCTAAGATTCCCTGTCAGTGGTGATGTTCTAGGAACAAAAAATGTTACAAAACCAATAAAACCCAGATATTAATTACTCACTTGCAACTAGTGGCTCTGGCTCTGATTGTCTGAAGTAGAAAGTAACTTTTTCCAAGTCAAACAATGCAACCAATGTGTCTTCTAGCATAGCTTGTTCATCAGCCTAAAAAAGGCAAAATAAAAATTGGAAAGGTCATCTCAGCCAGATGTTATCCCTACCAGAAATAATATAAGAGAGCAGGACATAAAATTAACTACAGAGTGTTGCACAACATTTCACTGCTGCGGTGTATTACCTATTTAACTCCTAGATGAGGTAAATCTCTTTGTTTCTATTGGCATTTTCCCTTTCATTACTAGTTCAGGATTATTAAAATTTATTTATCACATCATACAGTAAATTAATAGGTAATTTACAGCCACCATTATTTCTCATGTCTTTTAGTCAAGTAATTCTGTCATTATTCTGTAAAACACCAGATTTTAGCACCTTGTCTTGCCACCAGGTCCATCTCACAAAGCAATAGAAGGGAAATGTGAAAACTATATTTTTTTTAGCAATTTTCTTTTAAAATTTCCATAACTTCAGAATTTCACTTACGAACAACATATAAGAGTTTATTGTGCCCACTCTAAGCACCAATAATTGAACCAGAAGCTCAGAAAATTTACTACTCAGGATGACTTGCACTTCACCTACAAAACTCTAGGCACAAATCAAGTACATAGATGTGCCAATATTTTGATTTGCACCTATAGTTCACTCTGTGTAACCCTGAGCTAAAGAGATAGTTAAAGAGAGCCAGGATTACTCAAGACACTTAACTGAAGCTTTAAAAAGGAAAATAGTAATCTACAATTATATTTATCTTGAGTTAACTATGCAGACCAATTATAGCTTAAATCAATAATCACTTAAAGTAATTCTATTCCTTATACAGCCCTCCCCTGGCTCTTTAGATTAGCAAGAGCCAAAAGGAAATCTGAATAATGTGTTTTTCCCCCTCTAAGACTGAAACAGTAGGATGGCAAAGAATAATAAATAGCTGTCCCTAAATTGACAATAAATTATAGTTTACAGCACAATAGAACAGAAGAAAAAAACCCCATTATTTTCCCTGATCTATATAGTGAAATAGCTTTCCCCCTTGTACTTATAAAAAAGCAAATCTGCTAGAAATATCTTGTCTTTTGGTTCAATTTGTGAAGCCTATGGACAGTGATTTTGTCAGCAGAATAGCAGAATAGAGCAGCGTGGGAAACTCTTGCACAACTACTCATTCTTTACTGAACTCTGGCCATAATGAGTGTAATTTCCTTCAAATACCCTTGTTTAAAATAACCCCTTGTTTAAAATAACACAGATAATTTGTAAGCCAAATAGTGCAGAGAAGGTATTGAAAAAGCTGCCTTTAAATACAATTCCCTTGGTTAAGAATCGTTAGGCAGAAAAGACTGAACTTTATTTTCAATTTGACAATGCATATTGCAGATATCTGATTATGTGAAAATAGTTGAGTAGCACACATTTTCACTAGAAAGGAAATCACCGCAATCTGCAGTGAAAAAAAATATCATTATTCAGAGCTGTAAAGACTACAGCTGCTTTGTGCTAACACAACAACAAAGCACAAGGTAAAACATTAGACAGACACCAGTGGAATTTACTCTTGAACTCTTAAGTATTGCACCACCTGTTAGTGCCACACATTGTCAAAAAGCATCCAGGACTGAAGACATGAGTCCAAGCTTCCCAGACAGTGCTTTCTTCACATGTTCCTCATGTGGATTAACAGTTCTCCTGTTTCTCTGAGGCCCTGATTATATCTGTTTGAAAGCTGCACACACCCATGCAAACCCATGTACCAGAGCTGCCTGTGAGGTACTTGGTCACACTGGCTTTCCAATACATAGACTGAGACTTTACGTGATTCAGAAATACCTTTATTTGTATTGGTTTCTTCTGCTCCTAAGGTTTCTTATGTCAATTTGTCAGCAATTTGCTGCCAAGACAGACAAGGAGAGGAAAGAACATCTTTGATACTAAGAACATCATCTGTTATTTATATGGAGTTTTATTCTTAAGGAGCAACTCCAGAGGTAGACCAAACTGTCATGGAAAAGGCTATGCAAACTGTTTCACAGCTCCTCTGGCTAGCAGGAACCAGTCTAGTGTGAGAAGCATCTCAAATAGCTAAAGAAGCACTTTGGATAACTGAGGATTAAGGGAGTACAAAGCCATGTCCCATTTTTAATTGTTTTTTAAGCCATGGCTGTTTGCCAAGCCTTGTGAAGAAACAGTTGATTTCCAATTACTCTGACAGGCTACAAGGATTTTCCATATGACAGGAGCAAAACAGGCCAGCACGTTTACTCCTTCAACTACTATACACCTATTGTTTTTTAGGGAAAAGGGTGATAAAATTACCTAAACCAGGTATTTTATTTACCTTGTATTATTGCTAATTGCAAAACGAAGCTCTGCTTATCACCTACACTACATTCAGTCCCAGGGAACAGCTACAACAGCAGTGGGGAGTCAAGAGTAATCTCACTATCTGCTAACTCAAAGCAAACAGAATACTGTCTTTGTGGAAAACTTATTTCCCATACCATAACCAAGCTGTAATTATGTGTATCAGATCCAAATCTGTAATATCAGAATTGTAACTTTTCCAAATAGCAGCTAAGTACCAAGATTAGCAAAAAGGACACAGAAAATCAGATTTAGATCTGAGACTACTTAACCATGTCCCTGCTTCAGGGAAGGAAAAGGGACTCTGACCAAGCATGAGACAAGAGGAGTCTTACCAGGTTTGGAGAGAGCAGGGACTGGAAATGAAGGAGAAGACCTGCACTGGCTATCTGTTCCAACCACCTTCTGCTGGCCTCCAGGGTCTCCATTTCATACTCTTTGTTGTTGTCAAACATCTGATTTAAGGCCACCATCAGCTGCTCTGAAAAGGCACAGACTGTGGCCACCAGGCTCTGACAGAAGACCATGTCTCGCCTCAGTTGTATCTCGCTATCTGAGAGGTGTAAAAGCCAAAATCAAAATTAAACAGGAGATTAGTTAACAGCAAAGAAACTAGGCTTGAATTCCTTATCTATAAAATACATCATTTTTATGTCAAGCAATTTACAAGTTTACAGCCTAATGTTATCTCTAGTTAATAGTACTCCACGACCCAATTTGCCTTTTTCCTCATTAAAATATTATGTTATGATTCTAAAATTGCATGAGTGTATTTAAAATCTGGAATTTAAAGTATATTTCTTTAAAAACAACGTACGTTTCTCTCCTAGATTTTAATGTACATGCCATAAATTCTATGTACTTTTAATGTCACAGAACAACGGAGGCAAGTCAGATCTCTTTGCTGCAATGTGAGAGCAAGCTGGGCCTACAAATGTTCCCTTTCCACCAGAAAGCAAGGACAGTCAGAAGCTCTTAACATGACTGCATAATCTGGCCTATTCCACAGCTACCAGCTGGGGAGGGCAGATGAAGGCTGTCTGCTGGAAAGCACAGTATTCGTACCAGAACACAATCTATCCAAATCAAATTTATATGAATGTGAATCTATAAAATAAGTACAGAGCAGCATCACATATCCAGGAAACAGCAGAGATTTATGGTGCCAACAAAGTCCAGAAAAGGTCTGTAGGTAGATAGCTATGGAACATTAGCAGGTGATTTGAATTAGGGACTAGCTAACCTACCAATTTATTCTGAAGGGCATAGGTATTAGATTAGCTAAAGGTCAAAAGAATTAAAAAGAGAAACATATTCCCAATAAAGAACAAAACTGTGATGATAAATATTCAGCTCTTCTTTCTCATCCTCTTTTCTGAAGGTGTTCAAGTAATTTTATCATTATAAGCTGTTAGGCAAACATCAATCACTATGGTTCAGGTAGACTTAATCTTTCTCAGAGCAGGAGAGGGAGATCAGGTGATACAGAGGTCTTTCCAAAGCCTAAGATATTTGTCTTTGCTACTAGATTGCTCTGTCTCTAAGAGGCTTAGGTCTTTTTCCAACTTTTCTATGGAGCTGACAAGAATTCTGATGACTGGTTAATCAGCAGAAATTATTCAGTAGTCACAAAGTTACTACCAAATTTAAAAATGTGCTTTTTGGACTCCAAATATTTCTCAAAGTAACCTCATTCTGTCTAGTTTCCTCTGAGATCTTCTTCAGTCTTTTCCTCAGCTATTGATAATAGTGAACACTCTTTTGATATCATTTCTATTCTATTTGACAGTTTCTCAGAACCTTGGGAATATTTTACATAAATGGACAAATCACTACTGTTTATGAACTATGACTCAATGGTTTTTGTTGCTGTTGGGTTTTTTTGGGGTTTTTTGAGGGGTTCTTTTGATTGTTCAAAGCAACCTCTCTGTTTCTCTCAAGTTGTGCAAATCCAGAACAGAGTTCATCTTTCAAAATCCAGAACAGAGTTCATCTTTCAAAATCACCAGCTTTTCATCACCAGCTTCAAAAATCCCACTGGCTCCAAAAAACTTTCCAAAGTTCCAGCAGTGCTCAGGATTTGAGCCCAACACACATGGTTTCCTCACTTTGCTGAATTTTATCTCTTTCTTTCTAACAGTTGCTGGCTTCCTCTGTATTTCCTACTCCTGAAGCAGCTCTCCTGTGTCTCAAACACATTTCTGAATCTCATTTAATGCTACTTGAACATCAGATACTGAATACAAGAGCACTTTGGGGTCCTTTTACGAAAATATTTTTATACTAAATAAACTAGATAGTTTACCGACTTATAAAACGACATAAATAGGGAAAACTAAAAAAATCAAGTCTAGGACATTTTCTCAATTCACTTCTTATTTTAGGATAATTGAGGAATTACTAAAAACTTTTCTAATATTTTGAAGAAATCTGACAACAAAGAAAGGTTATAATCCCTTTTATAAAATTGTTCTTGTGTGTCAAAACAAAAATAATTAAATCATACATTCATGCAGTGCTGTAAGACAGTCAAAATAATGAACTGTTACAGTTAAATTGGACTGCCTTCTTGAACACGTAGGCACCTACAAACTGTAGGGAAACTTGTGACATAGATATTATTTTTTAAATACCAATCCAGTGACATTAATTTTGCAAACATACATCCCTATTTTGTGTATTTTAAGCTGTACGGCATGATAGTAGAATTAATACAGAGAATAATCAGAGTCCTTCCAGAAAGGAGGAGCTTAAATGTTCTTTAAATTTAGATAAAAAGAAAGGCACGGGTTAAAATAGCAATATAAATCTGGAAACAGATGGGAATGACAAGAAAAACAGCAAATAAGAAAACGCCCAAAGAAGAAAGACAGCTGAGACACTACGCAAAAGCTGAGTGTTCAGTACTTACTTTATCTGCCAAGATCTACAGTAAATGACCAGATAAGGTATTTTGCATTCAAAGAAAAAAAAAAAAAAAAGAATGTGCAGTGTTTGTTAAAAATATCTGAAACTGTTCTTCAGGAATCCTTATTCTAAACAGTGGGATGAAGTTGCTGGTTATCAGGTTTTATCATATCTGAGATTTTTCCCCTTAATGTAAACACAGTATTTCTGTTCAAAAGCAAAAACTATCTCAAACCATCCACATTCTCTTCCCTCCCTCCCAAAACGAGCAAAATTACCTGTATATTCTAGAAGTGCCAAGAGTATTCGTGCCTTCACCTCTTAAAGAAAAATAAGAAAATACTTTCAGGTAATGGTTAAAAGTGTTTTCATCAACATAATATTGCATCTACAGTTTCTCATTTCATACCAGCTTAACTCCAGCTTCTTTCTAGGCAATGCTGATTCATACCTACAAAACAGTAATGAGTCTCCACTTCACTTAGTTGTACATATGGCTTGATAAAAACTGATAACAATTAAAATCACTGTCACTGAGAAAGACACATGAAAAGGCAGCTGCTATCTCAGAGCACATGTGTAGCAGCTGGCCAGACCAAGTCCATAACTGAGGAATTCCAGTCCCAAAACTTTGAAAAACAAGACTAGTTTTCACTGATTCTCACATTATCCTAATTCTTTCTCCTCTTTCTCTTGTACTCTTTGTTCATACCAAAAAATCTCAAATTATCCCTATTTTAATGTATACCAAAGCCTTTAGGAAAAATACAACAGCATTTTCACTTTACTTCCAGCCTTCAGGATTTTGTTTTGCTTCAAAAATGTCTTATCACTTAACAATCTATGAAGTAAAAAAGTAGAAATTAAAAAAAAAAAAAATCTTAATTTACACAGGCAAAAATGTGGGTTTACACTTCCCCCCCCCACCTTTTATGTTTTCCTTGAAGGGGCCTGCTTTTCAAAGGCTGCAGGCAGGCTGAAGGAAGTGCACTTTATGCACCAGAGCACAAACTTAAATATGTTAACCAGTGCTGCAAGATACAGGAAGATTAAAATCTGCCATAACCCTAGAGAATGCCAAACTTGCAGCACATCAGTTGTCCTACAGGTACTACTTGAAGGAACACAACACTACTTCACATGCTTTCACATCTTTCCAAACCTTCCTTCACACATCCAAGTTTCTCTGCAGTCCTGTTCAAAGCCCTGTTCAGTGCACAAGCAGGGCTGAAACTGGCTATATGTAAAATTTTGTAATTTCTTTCCCCCTACACTGTTACTACCACAGTATCTCAAATACAAACATGAAAAATTACTCGTTATTCCTGAGAAGTCTTGGTTCTAGGTGATTGCCTTAGCCTTCTGTCTTTTGAAAAAGAAAACACAACCCCTAACAGAGATGAATGACCTGGAGTCCGACTATAACTTAGTAACTGAAAAGAGAGTGTAGGGAAATACAGCTTTTATCTGAATAACTTAGATGCATCTGGGCTATTACTTGCAGCTTGTTTTAGATAAGATTTGTTGGATCTCTAAATTCAAAAGAATTTGAGGTATCTACAAATAACGATTTCCTGCTTGTGGGGAAATCACAGGACATTGCAACTCTCTTTTATCACTGCTATAAGTCTTCTGTGCCTCAAAATACTCCCACAGGCAAAACAGTATTTTTAGATTATTTGTCTACTTACCTGGGGTTAGAAGTGAACCTTGGATGTCAATCATTTGCTTTTCCACAAATACCAAATGCTATGAAAGCTCTCACTCCTTCTTGCTACATGTTGTATGGAAAAGAATAACTCCCTAGCAGTTGCTCTTAGATTCTGATTTGTAATGCAAGATGTCTTTAGTTTCTTTTCTTTTTATATATTCTTTTGTACTTTATTTAAAAAAAAAAAACCCACGTTATTCTGCTATTCAGATCTTTGCCAGGAAAGGCTAGATTTTAGTTTTATTTTGTTTTTCACACCTTAAAATATTTCAAATAGACAGATTTTGCACTGCATGGTTTATTATTTAAATTGAAATACATTTTTTATATCTTCAATAACCGAAAGGCTCCGTCAAACCTCACTCCTAATTTAAAGTAGATGAGAACTTTCTCAATTGCATCATATTTCCTGTTTAAACTTAAAATTACAGTGCTAGAAAAACAACTGCACACTCTCATGCAGTTACATGACTAGCTGACTAGAACTCTGGCTTGCTCCAGAACACCTCTCCTTTTGATCAAAAATCTTACCTATTTTTTCTGTGGGAAAAAGCAACTACAGAAATGTTTCCTTCTCTTTATTTTGTTTACACCCTTCTGTTGTTGAGTCCCTTTCTATCCATCCATCTTGTTCATTTTCCTGGTTTCTACTCCAGCCTTTTCCTCCTGTGCTTCCCAGTTCTTGTGTTACATATCTCACACAGATTCACAATCAAGTGCCTACATTATTCTTCCTCTATTTGGTGGCTGTCCAATTCCTGCCCTGATTACTGCCCTCTCCACCAAAATCAAGTACTTCACCTTCAAAGATCTGCCTGTGCCAACAACTTATCTTTAGCTTTATTGGTTTAAAAATTTATTAGGCCCAGTCAATCCAAGAAATAACTTTATACTTTTCTTTAGTTACTTAGCTCCAGATAAATCCTCCTAGAACCTGCATATCACTTCAGAGAACTCGTCAATGCTAGCAACTAGATTAGCTTTCTAGGCTGGTCTTTTACTATAACCATTGAATTTTTTTTCTTTCTCTAATGATATAATAAGGCAAATGAAATGAGACAAAGCAATGTCCAGCTATATTTTAATTTTACTGTTAAGGAAGGTTTGGGCGGTTTTTTTCTGTTTTCTTTTTTTTTTTTTCCCAATCTGTGCAAACTTTCATGGATTTTTTAGTAGTTCTCCCAGTTCTAACACTAATAAACAGAAAACTGACAGACCAGAGTACTCATCCTCAAGGCATTCAGAGTTTTCCCATTTCATCACATTTATTAAACCAAGTAAATAAAAGGAATCTTAGTATTTAGTACTTAAAACATTTCATCTTTGTGAGGCTCCCATGTCTCCTACAACAATGCACTAATCAATCTAATCTAACAGATTCTGCAATGCAACAGAACAATGAACAAAAAACAAAAATATCCTGTGATACTTTTATAAGAAGAAAAATTAGTCAGTTTTCAATAAGGAGATGAATTTATTGTATTCATCCTTACTTTAGCAATAATGGTTAAGTATGTTTATAACAACTGGAAGTTTTAATTAAAATTTTTTTGCCCACAGTGAGTGAAGTTGTGGTCTCCTTTAACTACTTCCTCTTGGAAGAGAAAAATGTATCTGCTTTCCTCAATTACTGAAATATTGTCTTTTACTCAAAAACAAACAGGAAGACTCTTCTAAAATCCCAAGACATTGTTCAACTTTTCTCATAAGCCCAACTAAACAGTCATATTAGGTGGCACCTTTTGGGTTTTTTAATAAATCAAGTGAGTAAGAGAGGAAATGGGGAGATAACTCTCTGTGCCATGTGTTAGGTTTTCAGCCATAAATAACTCAGGGCAGTACTGGTGGTTCTCCTAGGTATCCAGACCAGCTGAGAACACAGTGTATGATGGCAAGACAGGAAGGAAGAAATCAAGAAATCAAGATACAAAGGGAAAATGGAGCTGTTAAAAACATTATTAACTCCACTTCTTGTTCATCCGATTTCAGAAAATCCAGCTGCTGGTTGTTTCTCAGTACTGAGCTGAGTACAGTAAAAAATAACTTTTATATTACAAAGAGGCAGCAAGTAATTTGGACTTTGATGAACTCTCCCACAAGATTATGAATAATCTCAGCTCAATATTGAGGGTATATGACCATTGTTAAAATGGGTTAGGTCTAATAATTCTCTTCATGGGCAAACGAGTTCTGTGAAAATAGCCTGGTAAGCTCAGCTTCTGAAAGGGGCCAAGCAAGAACTGTTCACAACACATTTCCATTTCCCCTCGACTTTGAAAGAAACCCTGATTAATACTTGCAAATAATTTGGTTTAAGCTGAAGAAGGACCTCTAGGAAAACAAAAAGGATTCAAAACTATTTCTTAATTTTTCGTTCAGTGACAGCCACCATTAAGCTAAAAGGTGTATTCTTAGTATTGGATAGTCAACCCACTGTGATTGACTTCAAAAGAGAGATGTTTCTGTGGTTGTTTTTATAATTTTCTAACCCAGGGTCTGAAAATATGATGTATCTCAAATCAGAAATGCCAAGTCAGAGAGGGAAGAGTTTGTTTGGTTTGGCTGGTTGGTTTTTGAAAGTTTATAATAATAAAACTTATCACAAAGTTCTTTCCCATTGGTGTGATATTTAACAGTTTCTTTAAGGGACACTGTAACAACTAGCCCACAAACAGAAGAAGCTAAACACACACAAATAATTTAAAGCTAGTCTTAAGTTTTTGTTCCCACACAGAATCCTAGCATAGGCATTTTTATAAAAATAATCTTAACTCTTTATTTCTGTTTCTTTATCAAGCAGCACAGGAAATAAAGCAGGAATTAAAGGCAAGAGACTGGAGGGAAAAGGCCAGTTACTTTCTTATGAAGAGAGGGGAGAAAGCCTAAAACCTCCTCTTCACTGGTGGTGAAGAGGAGCAGAGTACTTGTAACTTCTATACAGTGGTGGAAGGGAGGCAGAGGAGTCGTCCATCCATCAGCTGGGATGGATTAAATGAAAACTATGGCTTTATAGCAGAAGGAGATATAAGAACTCCAGAAAAACACAGAGAAGACCAAGGTACAGGACAAAAGCAGCAGAGACTTTATCTCTCCAGTTAAGACAGTGGGAAAAAAAATAGACTAAAATGAGGCTTTTGTTGAAATTAAACTATCAGTCCCATGAAGTTCTGTGACAAATCAGGCAAGCCGACTGGATTGAAAAACCTAGCACACTGAAAAACCTACCAACTGAAAAGCAGAAAAATACCATATCCAATATATGGTTCCTTTATTTTCACTTGTCAGAAAACTATTTTCTCTTCAGCATCTAAAGCCAACAGGGTAAGTGCAAGACAGCTGAGATAAACTCTACTAACCTTGTTATTGAGAGTATCTATAGACTACACTGTGTTCCACCAATCTTGCCTAGAAGCAGCAGGAAGGAGCTGTACCTCTCACCTTCCCTTCCCTCTGCATCGTTAATGAAGTGCTTATTTATGGTCAGGTTGCTCTTACTAACCTTCAACAAATTTTCTGATATTCTGGGCAAGGCCCCGGACACTGCTGGGGAGGTTCCAAGGGTCTTGCTTGATGTGGAGTCGTAGCCTCTTTGGACAGCTGAGCTTTGGTTCCATTTCTTGCTGAAACTCTAAGCAAGGACAAAAATAGTAATTTTCTGCTTAAGCCTCCTGAGAAAGTCACAGTAAGACTTCTTTTTTTTCCTAAATGTTTTCACTGCTCAAGGAGTTGGCCTTGAACATATTTAACTTAACGTTAAAGCTATGGTGACAGATCTAACAGTCATCTAAGCTCCCTGCTGAAGTCTAAGGAGAGAGTGAGCAGCATCCCCAAACGTGATTCTTTCTGAAGCAGGTCCATAACAAGGTGCATAGTAAGTGGAATCCCCAAACTTTTAGAGGCAAAATTGTTTCAATCAGAAAATTAAATTTAAACCAAAATTACTTACTTTAAAAAAACCCAAAAAAAACCCCAAAAAACCCAAATCCCCAATCTAACAAAAGAAAACCACCAAAAAAAAAGGAAAAAAAAAAAAAAGAAAAAAAGGAAGTTATGTGTTCTTTCATAAATTCAGGCCTCGTAAAACCTCATAACTGGGGTAAAAAACACCCTCTGGCCACCTAAAACCAGTTTTTACTGAAAGACATGTGTAGGGTCAATACACCTCACTACTGATATTAATGAAACATTCATTTTCCCATTGAACTTTTATTTATTTTCTAAACTCACTGAAAGAAATCCTTTCTATTTTTTCATGACTTACCACCACCAACAGATGCTTACTTATACCTTGACTTAAGTAACCATACCTAGACTTAAGCAATCATACAAGTGGTAGTAGAGTGTCTGAATTTACATACAAGATATATCTTTTTAAGCAATCAGTAATATTTACATAAGTATATATTTGACATAAATATTGCTGTGACTATAAATCTCAAATTATTTGTAAATCAACTTCAAACATAATAGAGCTACAAAAATAATAAAAATATGGCATTAGTAATAAAACAGATCAGGAATGGCTTCAGTAGTTGCAACAAAAATGTATTGAAAACACTTGCAATATAGATAACAACACTGCTTCTTGCTTCAAAAAACTCAGCAATACAAGTCAGTTCCGAGTCTAAAATTCAGTTGAATTTGAATTTTTTTCCTACATTATGCCATAAAATATAAGGAGTCAGTTTTCAACTTAGAATTAATATCTATTAAAAATGAACTTCAATAATCAGTTATTGCAGAATATACCAAGATTAAGCAAAATCAGTCCTTTAACAGCAGCTGAAGGAGTGGACAGCCATGGCCATGGACCCTTCAAGCTGCCTTTTCATTCTCATAGCTAGAAATAAATGTTACCTTGGAGACCTCGACCTGGTGTAAAGTACTTTGTCTGCTCAAAGGCCCTCATCACAGCTGGTCCTTTCAAAAGATTGACGATTGAATCGACCTGTTGGGATCAAGGTTCTGTGAGAAAGATGTATTTATTTTACAGCAACAATTAGAAATTCTTTGTGTACGAAATGTGGACTACTGACAAGCAACTCTGGATTTTTTCTTACCTAATGGCTCTACTTAAAGTAACAAACTGGAGAACATCAGGCTAAATTTAAGGGCCTGTTTAATTTGCAGTTTTGGACTATTTACAGAAAACTGAGGGAAAATGAGTAAATACATACCATCTCAGTAAACAGTGGGAAGCAAAATTAAAAAGAAGAAGTATTTTCTAAAGACATCTTAGTTCAAGCACAGACATCAGTATCAAAGCCAAGAAAAATAATCTCATACTTGACCAAAGAGATGCTCCAAGCAGCTATGGAGCTTGTCCTGTTTATCATGGGAGATTCGAACACTTATGGGAAGCTCATCACCTGAAAAATATTTTAAAATGAGAAACTGTTTAGAAGCTTCAACGTGTTTTCCAAAACCTTTGCAGCTTAGCTAATCTGCTTTGCACAGACTGATGCTAACACTGTCGGGACTACAGTGACTGTTCTCCCTACATATTTTGCATTTATTAGTTACTCGATAATACAGAAATAGCTCTTAAAGAAAGGACCACATTCAAAACCCAACTGGTCATGGTTCTGGAAGACCTGCTCTAGATGAGCCTGCTTGAGGGGGAGACTAGACCAGATCATCCTAAAAGGTCCCTTGAAACCTCAACCATTCTGTGACCAGAACTCCCCATTCTTCTCTTCTAGAGAACATACTGGAACTAGAACTCAGAGTAAAGAGCCAAGTATTGTGAATCCAACACAGCAGACTACAAAGTCACTGAAATGCATTCAGTGTGAAGTTTTTATAAGGACTGTACAGATAGTAAGAACATTAGGACTGTGAATTAACTAAATGGTTCTGAGATTTTAGTAATTCAGCAAAAATACAGCACCCAAATTATTTGACATGAAGCTTTTAGCAGCACATACCACATCATTTCATAAGAAAGTGCAGAGGAGAAGGACTCTTTTAGGTCACTGCCCTGTCACTTGCTCTTTCAGACAACAGGCAATATACCTTCAACTCTTTCAAAAAATGTTGAATAACTGAGTTTAAAACTGGTTTTACTCCTTGATGTTGGTTACAGACAAGAAGTAGCCACTTGATCATTTACGATCCAAATTTATTCAAGGTTAATCTAGACTCATTTTTCTTGTGTCAGTGAAACACTTTAATGATGCTTTTCTGTCCTTGATTTTTTTTAGCTCCTTTAGTCCTTACAACCATTATACCTCTTCACAGGATTTTAGCTGCAAGAGAGCAAAGTGCCCAAAACTCCTGATCTGAAGTTAACCAGGTTGGCTTTGGAACCAGCTGACAATTAAGCCAGCAGAGAGTGTGAGTTTCCCCGAGCAGCAGCTTTTGTCATCTAAACCACCGCATCTGTGCTTGGCTAACAAAGACATGTTCTTTTAGGCACCTCAGCTGGCACTTCAGCTTGATGCTGCACAAGAGTACATCAGATCATTCTTATCTTAAGCTGAAGATATGGACCCTGGGTCTCCTCTTTTATTAACAATTCATTATGTCCTTCATCCTTTACTCTGCAAATGAAAATGGAAATGAAATTCTGTCTTATTCACACTACTCTGCATAATTCACAAGGTATCTTAGATACCTTGCATAATGTCTTAATACTTTCCTGTTCCAACTGAAAATATCTCTCCTGGTACAATGAACAATAAAAGTTATGGCCAGGCCTCACTGGTGGGTCATATTCATAATATGCCCAGTTTTTTTCTTTTCCAACATCATTCCCAAATGATAAACTCCCAGCTCAGAGCAAATTTTTTTTTTATTATTAGTCCCTGAGTATATGACCTCCTTCTCCATGCAGTTAAATTCCATCCCATTCCTATTAGCAGCTGCAATTACTTACATCCAATTTGTTGTGGCATAAACAAGAATGTGCTTCTCTGCAGTCACACATTCCTTCCTATAAACACACAGAGCCATATCCAGCTGCCTAGGTGCTGACACTGGCTAGGAGAGCATTCCACACTCACCTAAAATGCTCCTGACTCTGTGCAACACAATGCACTGTCAAGACATTAAAGACATGAAAAGCACTGACTCCAGGAGCTCTAGTACAGTCTATTCACAGAGATAATGGAATGTTGGCTCTCTTTTACAGAAGGATTCCTAAGTGTAGCACTAGCTAGGCAGAAGCAAAATTATGAACTTCGATTACTAAGGAGGATGCAATTTTTAAAATAAAAACAATAAAACTGCCAGGTAAATGAAATTAATAAAATTGAATAAAAGGAAAAGAAGACAGATTCATAGATGACTTTTCTAAACATACCTGAATCCATTTCATCACTGTGAAAATAAGAACTGCACTGACTGCTACAAATGCTGGTGAAAGAGGCAATGGAGTTCCTATTGCTGTTGCAGTCACTTGAAAATAAAACACAAAACAAAAAAATAAATAAAGTCATGTCCTTTAACACAGGCTCTGTAAAAAAAATTTATGGAAATTCTTTCCCTTTTCCCATACTAAATATAATGATGAGATGGTCTGTGAAATTCTTTATACACAATAAAGATCCCTGTGCTTAGACTTTCATTTAATTTGCAGTCCTGGTAAGACTCAGAAGACTGGATTCCCAAAATAAATGCTTCAATTATCTCCCTTCCCCTTACCTGTGAACAAGTACTTGCAGAATAGTAATACAGGCTCTGAATGCAAAACAACCAACTTTTCTTGCATGAGTGGTAGTTTTTTTATCTGTGCTCAACTCAAAAAACTCAAATGTTTTAGTTACTTCACATTTTCTCCTGGTCCATAGCTAATACAAACATTGAGTCTTTACAACTTGTATAACCAAGTCCCACTGTGGGTTTACAAGAGATTTGATTCGTTTGAATAGCACCAAAACTGAAATTACAAACTGTTTTCCTTGTCAGCCAAAACAGTTCATGATCCCATCTCTTCCAGCTGTTCCTTTTTTTAGAGATGCATAGACATTAACATCTGTGGCTTCAGTCAAAACTTCTATGCATATGAAATCTCACCCACATTGGTCTAACAGGGAGATTTTGGGATTTGAATCTGTAATTTTTTTCTGCTCTTTTCTCTCAAAAACAATTTGTTCTGTACAGAAAATACAAGGAGATACACCTACTCCTGCAGCAAAACCAGAGTAAAATATAGACTTTTGTACTAAAAATCCTATGAAGATATATTTTAATTCAAAGTCTTCAGAGCTGTGTAGCCATATGAAAATGATTTAGTTTCAATGCAGGAAATGCTTAAGTAATTATCCAGCAGAGGGAGTCTTAAAAACCCAAGTGAATGTAAGATAATGTAAAAGTGTACCTAAGGGAGGTTTATACATAATGATATGGGCCTTGTTTTATGACTTGGGTGTACCCATTCACCAAGATTAACATATCCATTATAAAAATAACACTGCAGTTATACACGTGCTCCCTATTTGTTTTCTTTATTTGTGTAGATACAGAAGTGACTTTTCACTAATTTAGAGGGAGTGCCTCACATTTCCTGGCTAATGTACGTGTTTTGGACCTGTAGTCAACGAGGTAAGTGAACGAGTTAAACTTCTAAATGAAGCAATATGATGTAATTACAATCATAACCATTAAGCAGATGAAAAGACATCAGTAACAACATGTTCCTAATAGTGGGTGAACAGTCCCAAGGAGTATTAAAAATTTCTGGCTGGATATTAAGAAATGTTTTCTAACTAACTCTATTCACTTATTAAAGTCTCCAAAGGGGAGATGAAGGTTAATTAAAACTGGGTTGTGCAAAGCATGAGAAAATAAAACACAAGAAAATGAGAAACAGATTAGATGCGTTTGCTGTATCATTCTGCATGATTTTTGTGTTGTTTTGTAAGGTTTAGAAGGAGACCCTACACAAAATGAGAGCATTATAATGGCTGACATTAGCCAAACAGTTCCAGTAATAACCACTGTGGCATCATGAGAGCTGGAGATTTTAAGTATTGACTAATACAATTATTTAAGCAAAGAAAAAGCATTCTAATCTCACTCCAACACTTGTCCTTAATGCACAAATTTTATGATTATTCTGCATACAGAACCCTATGTTTTATTATTCCTACACAGCCAGAATGGACTATAAGGGACTGGAATCAGAATAAAGAAAATGTTTTGAACAAAGAGATGCTCATATCCTGGGTCACACCTTCTTTCTCCACATACAAATCCTGTGCCAGCTGGGAAACCTCCCAACAGGAGCAAGCACACATCACTGGAGTAGCTCATGAACAGTCAGTTTGACACACCATGAACATGCAGGAAACTCTAAATGCGCTTCTGCTGGACCAAGAACTTTGCCTGTATGTTCACCAAGGTAAGCACAAAATGAACTTAATCTGTGCAAACTATCTCTGTGTTTACATCTGTGTTGTTCTCTTTCCACTCTGATGAAGAGTTCGTATCTACCAGGCTGCAATAATCAAATACAGCTTAGGAAAGAGATCTCAGCAACACAGAGTTCTGTATAAGAATGATAAACCTACTGAGATTCTAATTTCTGAGCATGATAATGATACTGAACAAATAATGAACCCTCATTTTACTTGCAGCTAAAATTTGAATTTCATTTTTATATCATTAGTCAATTTCTCTAAGCAAGAGAATACCATCTATATAAGAGCTATACTTGCTATAATTACTCCTTCCTTTTCAAAATTATTCGTATTCTCATTCACAGTATGCATATCAAATTCTAGAGGTGAGTTGATGTTACAGTATTTAGAGTGAGACAAGGTGAGAAATATATGTTGATAAACAGTATATTTTTCTTTAGATCAGGAAGAATGGTGGCTCTATCACCTTGCTTTCCATGGTAGATATTTGGTTTGTTGTTGGAGACGTAATAACCAGTTATTTCTAGTTTTTGTAAGACAGGTAATCTAAAGTAAAGTTTTAGATCTTTGGTTGTGATAGCCTATCCAGATTTGGGCAACCAAGATATAATAACTAATCTGTACTCGTAAGACTTTGTTTTACACATCCTGAGGCTAGTTACTCCTCCATCAGTAATGTCAGAATCATATTCTAATAGTCTTCATAACCACTTCATACTTTACAAGCTTCCATATTTGATTCAGTTGAAAAACAAAAATATTATTAATAAAGTTACCTGTAAGAATCCCTGTTACTGATGGTATCATGACCAGAATCCTCTTGTTCATCACCTGTTACACTGAAACAGACTTTCTTCCCATTCCTTTCACCCTTTTCATTATCACTGTCTGCTGGTATTAAAGGTTCAGGTGTTTTACGTTCTGATTTGGGAGAATATGTTATTGAAGAAAGAAGGCTGTGAAACACACAAAAATAGAGGCAAATTCATGTTTTTCAAAAGTGAGCTAGCAACAGGATAACATTTCTTATCATCATCCTCAACATTTCTTATCATCATCCTCCAATTATTATTCTATAATATGTGAAGGGAATATCTTAATTCAGTCAATATGTATTTGAAACAAGGAAAGGAAGTGACACATTCTGTTTTTAAAAAAGTCTAACAGTGAAACCCATTAACCTTACCAAATACTTATTAGTGTATGAAACCAATGATTCCAGCTGGAGAAGAAATACAGCACATTCTTGGACACTTGAGGTCAAACTGCATATTAACATAACTATTTTTAAATATGAATCCTGCACTTCCTAACACAAATCAAGAAAACATATGGAAGTAACTGTATGTCTGTGAAAAGCATGTATTTTCCCAATTACTACTGTACAAGACATGCCAGTGTGCACTACAAAGCATTCTACTAGGGCATTTTAATGATCTTTATTAACATCTCTGTGTACTTCGTGACATTCAAAGTGTCTAAGCCACCATCACTAGTAAAACTGATGATTAATATACAAGTGTCTGTGACGAGCACAAAAGTGACATCCAGCCAAGAAGAGAGAACAGTGCAGATTGCTACTTTTAGAACATGCAGAAATACTGGCAGTGAAAAATACATATTCTTGGATGATTAATTCATACTGAGATGCTCTAATTGACTTTCAAGATCAGAACAGCAACAATGGGCAATTGTCCTTCAATTCCTATTGCTCAAACACTCCATTAAAATCGCACTTTCAAATTAATATTTGGATTTCAAAAGCAGCATTTTTCTTGCAGAAACTACTTGCTAACTACCTGAAATCAGAGGACACCGAACTAAACTTTTTTCCCCTTTGAATTACTTAGAAATAGTAGCAGGGTTTTATTGAAGGAGCTGTCAGAATGGTCAACTGGCAAACTTTCTACCAAGTACATGGTAGGACTCAAAAATAGGTTAGATCTTCTTACATGAAATTCTTGCTACTGATGGGAATAGACAGATTTTATCGCACATATAGTTAAAGACACTGATCTGAACTGCAACTAGAATACAGAAAAATTATACTAAAGGTCTAATTTCACTAGAGTTTAAACTCACCCCTCCACTAGACTGATATCTTTTGGGCTACATTATGCCTTAACACTTCATATCAGTAGGAATTCACAACTCAGTTCTTTCCAGTCACTGCGAAGCATAATTCCATGAGTACGGGAAGAGAGATGGGACCCATATTTTACATCAGTGTTCAGTGTCAATCTCATGCTCCAGCACATGCATTTTTGAACTTGTCCTAAAATAAATGTGTTATGGAAGCAGAAACCCTTGGAAAATAGTTCTTCATACCTGTGAAACTTACTTTCTTAGTACGAAATATCTAAGGGGTTCAAAAAAAGATTAGACAAATTCATGGCACAACTTTCTAACACTGCTCTTAAACCAAAAGATCCATTCCAAAAAGACCATCTAGTTCTGCCTGCTGAAAGATGAGATAAGGACAAAGATAAATCTATACTTTTGCTTGTTCTTATGTTCCCACTCTCATCCACTTAAAAATAAAAGTTCATTCTAGTAACTTCTTGGGGATTTTGTTGTTGCAAGAAAATAATCAAGATTAAGAAACAAGTATAATGAACTGCAATTTCAGCTCCTGAAAGTATCTTCCCCGGAGTAATTATTTGTCAAGACACAGACAGACTATTATATCCCCTTCTTTTATGTGACTTTTAGTCACTGCTGCCAAGAGCTTAGTAAAAGACTGATTAAGGTAGCTGGATCTTTTCCTAAGGGGGCTTTTCCATTTCTCTCAGCAGGCAGGCTCTTTTTCTAAGGAAAATTTTTTTGCTGAACCATGAACGAAAGATGGAACTTTGGATTACCAAGTTCTGGAGAAAGTAGTTACTGAAGTCACTGACGCGCTCTTAAAAACTCAGTCCAGGGAGTTTAAAATAAAAACCTGGATACATCCCCTCTCCAATAATCATGCTTTAATATACTCCTGTTTTTCTTGTTAAACACAACACATGCACAATACATTTTCTCCAGAGATGGGCCTACTCCAAACAAAATTACCTTAGATATCTAGCTCTCAAAGGAGAAACACATGCGTGAATAGTAACTAGCAGCTAGAGAGTCTCTATGAAGAACATTTCAATGAAACAAAGAAATTTAAATCTTTAAAAAAAATCCTCATCACTGGAAATTAGTCCTATGTGCAACCCAAGTCAACATAACCCTGACAAACAAAACCTGCTATGGTTAGTCAAAGAATTAGAAATGGCAGTAACAAAAAACCTTCTCTGCCTTTTCCTCACTCCACACAGGCTTGAAAAATGTTCAAGCCTCTTGTATGCTCCTGAAAGACATCTTTTCAAAAATTAGCTGGGATGGTAGGAGAGCATAAAAACCAAGAGTGCATGAGAACCAAGAACCCAGCAGACTCACCATATAGAAAACAATTAGAAAAAGGACTTATTTCTGTGTAACACCTAGCAGCAACATGGGGTACTATTGGGATACCATTAAACTATTTGAATGTGAGCACAGTGGAGCCTGGAGAGGCTGTGGAAAGGGGATACATATTCTGTGTGTATTTCTCTCTCTCTCTGTCAGTACTACATCACTTATCCAAGTAAAACTCATCAGCAAATCATCTCCTAACTCCTATGCAGACCGTAATTAGGAGTACAAAATCTTCTCGTAAATGCTCCCTTGCCATAATCCACAGGCTCTCACAGATCTGCTTTTCAGATGAAACACTCATTTTTCAATTCAGTAACAGACAGCAGAGGTTGAGCAGATAACACTGCCCCAAGATTTTGTGAGCTGAAACACAGACCAGTACAGACCTCAACACAGAGGTCAGTACTAGAGCAGAGACCTCTAGTAACATGCATGAGCAAGTTTTCCAGCAGTAAGTATAAAGAGTACCAGACAGTCATTCAGTAGTCCAATTTTTCTGTCACACAATATCAATAGAAATCAAAAATGGTGATAGATACCATGTTCATATTATTCATCCTGAGAATATTAAAATAATGAGGATTGTTTAGGATAATAATCAACTCAATAAAAAAAGACATCAATTTTATTGTTACTATGCCACAACAAAAAAAAATAAATTCTATTGTCTTTATAAAAAGCACAAAATCAAGCATTTCCTCTCAGCTATTTAAGTATGAAAATTTCTAATTAAAGCATGGCTGTTGGATTATCTATTGTGTCACTCTATCTTTTGTTTCTTCAGTCCTAAATCTCAAGAGTTAATTAGCATCTGTAACTGTATTCTAATATACCATGTACCTCAGAACTGCTCACTCTTCCCTGTTCAGCACTTTTAAGTAGGTCTCTTGGCTATCCTGTTTCCTCTTTAGAACTGCTTTCCTCTACAGTAATTACTCACTGGCAGCCCACTCAATGTCCATGAGGAATAAAGCATGAAAAGTCAAAGTCTCAGTCCTCCTATCAGCCAAAGGTAAAATTTGCTAAATACATCTGTGTACCTTATACAAGATCAGCTATAAGGTCAGTGTACAGAAAATTCAGGAATGAAAAAAGTGAACCCATGTGTCTGTGTACAATTTTTGTCTGAGTGTGTGTATTTATATATACATTTATACAAAAGAAAGGCTCAGAATTTCCTGTGCTTTTGCATCACAACCTCAAGGGAGTGGAAAGGAAAGGTGTGGCATACTGGCAACTGAATTTCCTGAAGTATTGACTAAAATTCCATATATAATATTCTGACTTCCATGAGGAGGAGAGACAACACAGGCTTTACAGATAGTAATTTCTAAGTGCACCCAAGCACTGAAAATATCATTAATTTATTTAATTTACTTCATCTTTAGCATAATAATTAGCAGAACTATGTAAAGGCACAGGAAACAACATTTTCTTAAAAATACTGAGTCAACTCTTGCTTTCATTCCCATTGCAGTATCTGATACATTACAATTACTTATAATAATTACAATTGCTTACATAACTGTTACAATGAGAATACTATGAGAACAGTAAAAAAAAAAGAAATCCCACCTTCAGTACACATGAAAAGACAAATCACACCACAGTCTTCAAGATAACACGAGAAACAATGATACATCACTTATCTAAACTGGAGATCATGACAGATTGTATTTTCAGCTCAAAATATTTTGCTGGTTTTGTTTTCAAAATCAATTTCCAACATTTGCATTACATATGGAATCTTTCAAAACTTAAATATTTCTTATACTTCTTCATCCTTATCCCAAGTAAACAGCCCAGGAGTCAACTCACTTACTTTGCTAAAGAAAAAGCAAGTTATAAATCCTTGTCCTGAATTAGGATTAACTGTGATGAGACTCTGAGTCTCCCACATTCAAGCCAAATGTCCTAATCACTCAAGGGTGGCTCTCCCTCAATCCACAGCTCTTCCTTAAGGTCAATTTGGTTTTGAAAAATTTCTAACAAATTAATGCTCTCCCTGTAGGTGAGTAATGTCTTACCCAAAAATTCATCTGTGGCAATACCTGAAGAGTTCAATAAAGGCCATTTTTATACCCCTTTGTTTCCATTCTTAGTGAAATTGTAGGTGACATGGTATGCCTCATATTTTCCTCACTTCAAATTAATTAACTTTGCCACGTTATAAAGAAAATCGACAAACTGGAAAAAACCTACAAACTGTTGGGAAAAAAGTCAGGCATGCTGTGAAAAACACCAAAATACAACATTTCCTGCACTTAAATTTCTTATTTTACTTTGATTCTGTCAGAAGTCAGCATTGAATCCTGTGCTACACAGAAGCATTGCCCAGATTTATCATTATCTTCTATGGAAAAATTAAAGGCAAGTCCAAATGGTAACATTTACTTACTCATCTATTTGGCAGACACATGTTTCCACCTCTTTCAGTGCAGCTTGTAATTTGAATAGCAATTTTTGATAGACATCTTGTGTTTCTAAGTCTTCTTCTTTTAAGAGGTACCTCAGACCATGGCCCTCTTGCTGGCCAAGAGACTGTCCTGAAGGGGCAGCCATAGTAGTAATGGTATGTTGGACATAAATCATGGGATTCAGTTTACCTGGGAATAATTGAGAAGAATTTCATCATTATCTTTTTTTTCAACATACATTTGGAAGTTAGTAAAATAACTAACAGACACTGAAATATTTTTCTGTTTAAAATTCATGTACTTATTTAATTTTGCATTTTATTTGCATTTCAAAGTCAAGCTATTTAGGATAAAGTTATTGTGAAATTTTGACTACCCATTATTATGCTGTAAAATAAAACTAAAAATCAAAAGGGTGATTTCAGAAAGACTTGTCCTCAATTTTAATATTTGGGCTATAACCTACACTGATTACCTTTTAAGTCTCTATAGCAGAAGCACTGGACGTAGGTCTTTCAAGTTCAATTAACTTACCTTGATCAGAGTTTTTATTCTCCTTCTCATGGGAAGAATGTTTTCTGCTGTCTAACTGTACACCAAAGGCACTACCAAGGGAAGTTGAGGTCTTAGGGTAAGACACTTCCATCACATTGATATGGCAATTGGTTGGACAGAAATCACTGCTGTGAAGTGGTGAAATCTTTGACTTAGCTTGTTTGAAGGTAGGCCAAGCTCTGTTTTTTAATACTCTTGAAAACTAGAAGTAAGAAAGAAAACCAAATTTTGATTATGAGCTCTTCTTGTGTCTGCACATAGCTAACAATTCTTGTATACCTAACTAGAAAATAAAAGCTTAAAATATTTCAGTCATCCTTGACTTAAGGTGTCTTGACTCCGTAATTTCCACCTTTCTCTAAAAGGGAAAAAAAAATATTTTTCCTTTTACATTTTAAAGGAGTTGTTTTTTGAAGCAAATTATGTTTTAAGACATAAAAATACCTTTGTAACAGAGAGAAAGAATTTATTTCCCATTAAACATAATAAAAATTAATTGTCTTTCTGGGGAGCAAGTCTGAAACTGCTGTACTGCTCATAACATTTATAAACATCTGCAGATGTTTTCAAGCCAGTATTTTCTAAAAATACATGAAATTTTTGTCTGAAGCTATAATGAAGACAAAATCAGGAAGTATGAATTCTGGATTTCCTGATCAGGAAGGAGGAAGTCCTCTTTAATCGTATCTTATCCTCCTGCATTAGAAGAAGCATTGCAGGGGTTGGAGGGAAGTGATCCTGCTCTTCTCCTCAGCACCAGTGAGGCCTCCCCTCAAGTCCTGGGTCCACTGGGCTTTACAGAAATAGACACGAGCATATTGGAGAGAGCCCAGTGGAGGTGAGCCCTCTGAGATGATTCAGGGATGGAGCATCTCTCCTGTGAGGAAAGGCTGAGAGAGCTGGGACCCTCCAACCTGGAGAAGACAAAGCTCAGGGGAAAACACATCAATGTATATGAATGCCTGAAGGAATGGGGCAAAGAGGACAAAGCCAGGGTCTTTCCAGTGCCAGTACCACAGGCAATGGGCTCAAACTTAAACACAGGAGGTTCCTCTGAATGTCAGGAAACACTTTTGCACTGTGAGGGTGATTGAGCACGGGCACAAGTTGCTCAGAGAGGTTCAGGGAAGAGAGGTCAAATCTCCCTCCTCAAAGATGGTCCTGGGCAATCATCTCTAGGTGGCCCTGATTAAGCAGGGCTGGCTGGGCAAGACCTGCAGAGGTACATTCCAACCTCAACCATTCTTCCTTTTTGAGTGACATTAGAAGCTGACAAGCACTAGTACATAAAAACTGCAAAAACCCCATTTTGCAGATTTTCCTAGCCCAGCATCTCTTCTCCCCCTATATATCAGCTCAGCAATGAGGAATGGTTTTTATGGTCTAATTCTAACACAGTGCTTAGCCACATGTCCTTGACTCTAACATCCTAAATTTTGTACAGTGTCTTAAATAAGCTTAGAGTTATTTGGTTTTTAAGATGAGAAGATGCCAACCCAAAATGGTGAGGAGGGAACTGGACACTCAACAACTACATCTACGTCAGAATCAAGTCATCTGATCAAGCTCTTCAGCTGGAACAGAGATTTATTTGTCAGTCACAAGTAGGATTTTTGTTAATATGTGTCATTTTCAGTGTAGTTTGTTGTCAGGGAAGATTTTTTTCTGGAAAGATGTAATCAGTGTTTTGATCACGATATCTCTCCAGTCAAAGTATTACACAGACCTACTTCAGCTATGAACCCCAGCTCACATATAAGAATATTTTCAGTTAACTTGCAAAGTTTCTTCACTAATAAGTGTCAGTTAAAATTCAAATCAGTCAACTTTTACTAATGCTTCAGTTGAATTAAGACATATCCCTTCTGCAAAGTAAGATGTTTCTGTACTTGGACTTGAATTTCTGTTTATATTGCTTCAGCCTGATGAACACTTGTTGGGATAATTACATTTAAATCTTTAGATCACAACAAGATCTGGAGGGTTACAAGAAATCCAATTATGGAGTTGTTCAAAGGCTGAAGAATGCACAAATTGTTAAGAAGGCTACTAAGGACATTCAATGATGAAAATGTTTCTGCAAGCAGTACATATTTCACATCTCAATCTCCCACACATCCTGCTCCAGAGAGACCAAATACTGGCTATGATTTAATCAGGTCATAAGTCAGGACCAAAATTCTTTTCATATATGTGTTGAGAAACATCTGGGACTCATGGCACTGGAATCGAGGTCTATTAGGAGCAAAATGTTCTGATAATAATAATAGTAGGAACTGCAGAAATCCACAAGATTTTTATTTATAGAATTCGAACTTTCACAGTAAAACCAGGAGCCAAGCTGGGCTCAGGCACTCCGAAAGTCTCCTGTAACTATGGTTACCTTTACCTTGCCAAGAAAATGACACGTCTATTCCTGAAATCCACTGCATTACTAATTGTCATTAAAAGCTATAACTGTGAAACTACTGATTTTTGAGCAGATGAGATTTAAAGGGCAGTCTGTATCAGGAATATCTTCTTCTAGACAGTGTAAGAACTAAAAAAACTTCCCAGAGGCTGTTTGTTTCACATCTAGCAGGCACAACAAAATTTGATTTACTGTCTTGGCCTGATCTATAGAGGCTATATATCACAGTCAAATTTTTCAGTTACAGAAAACATATAAATCACCTGCATGTTACTTGAACTGTAACAGTTAATATGAAAACTAATTAGCTTTGTTTTTTTTTAATGATATTTTGAATTTTAACCAAATTGGAAACATGGAGGTTTGTAATTCAGGTGAACACTGGAGAGGTCAGATTTTTGCTAAAGCAAGATCAGGATTCTTTTGATGTCTCCATTCACACAACTCAGTTTCTTCCGTTTCATTTTAGAGAGTACCTGGAAAAGTCTGACAAGCCGCTTTTTGGCCTTTGTCCTACTGACTACTGAGCTACAGGTATTCCTTACAGTTCTCCCTGCTTTCCTTTGAAAACTGAAAAGTCATTATCCAGTCTTTTAAATGCAGCTTCTGCAAATGTGTGAAACTTCTGTATTCACTTTCCTTTACCTTTTTTTTCTTTTCAAATTTTTATGTATAAACCCTCAGAACAGACCAGTTTCTAAACATCACAACTCAGATCCCCAAATGAGGTAAGAGAGGGCAGACCCACGTTTTGCAGACATTTTGAGCCTACTTCAAAGTAATTTCACCTCCCCACAATTAGGTTCCATGAGAGAGGAACTAGGGGTCTGGATGAGAAAATGAGTTTGCATTAACAAAATGGCAAATGGTTAATTCATTTATTCCCTGCTTGGTTAAACAACTATAGAGAAATGCACCAACAGCAACTAGAGGTCAGAGTCTGGGCTATTTATTCATTTATACACATACCATTAATTAAGATCTCAAGCATATGAAAGTCAGTGCCTTCTCCACTTTTCCAAGCTATTATGTTTTATTAAACCAAGTGAAGCTAATAAATTACAGAGATGCTACTATTAACAAATGTGTTAGGGTCTCAAAGTTGAATAAAAGGGTTAAAATTTGGTATTTGACTTGCACTGGAAAGAAAAAAAAACCTAATTCTGTTGTTATTGCTACATTTTTGGTTAACATCTGCAAATTCACTAGAGTATTGGTTTAAGGCATTTACAAGAATGACGGCCTTTTGCGGAAATATGCAGTTGATTGTCTCTACGACTGAACACAGCAAACAAGAAAGAATACAAACTACCCAAAGTCTAAAAAAGGGATAAGAAAGAGAATGGCTTGAAAACAATTGATGCAATCACTCCATTAAGGCATTCATGCTTCAAAATAGCTAAACTTTCAGCCACATTTTGTCACTGCCGTAGAGACTCTGAAGAGCTATTCAAACTGTACCACATTCCCCTGTTTCTTCCTTAAAAGACAAATATAATCAAGCTTAGGACATGCAGGTCATACCTTTTTATAGCTAGAGATTCTTCTGTAGATATGCTCAATTTTCTCACTGCAAATGACACTGAATTTACTTTGAAGTTCAGTGGGGATCACGTCATTTAAGGAATTGAGGCTGTTGCAATTCTGCACAAAATGTTCATCGCTTTTTGCCAGTGCTTCAAGAACCTAAGATAATAAAAACAAGAAAAGTATATTATGAAATTAAGTTGACTAAAATTTTCCCTTATTGATAATCTCTTATAACTAAAGCTGAAAAGCCTGCTAACATTACAGAAAATGGTGCACAACAACAATTAATGAAGCTTGGGACGCAAAGAGGTTTTCTCAAATCTATTCCCTGCTAAATTATACCCATAAGTATTTTTGCTTGGCTTCTCATGACATTGTCTGATAATGGATTTACTATTAATTTCCTACTAATGCAACCACTATGGCTCCTCTGAAATACATTATATGCTGTATTTACTTGATCAGCACATATTATGCAGAGCTGCTGAATTAATTCATTCATTACTTCTAGAAAACCTTTGGTTTGGCACAATACTAACACACTGAAAAAGTATAAAAGAAAACTGAGTGCTATCCTCTTGTATATTCTGCATAAAAAGGCTAGGAAATAGGGCACAGTATAAGCTGTACTGCCCAGCAAAGACTGAAGCCTTGTTATAATGGTGAGAGAAAACTAATTAAAAGGCATGTTGAAGAGATGAGGGGAGTATATAGCCTTTATAGATATTTCAGTATATCTTGGTCTTTCTTTCAAGTTTTATTTGATAATTAAGAAATAAGGGAGAGGGGCAGGAGGAATGGAAGACTTTGAAGCTCTTTTAACATTTTTTTAGATTTAAAGGCTCAATTCATAGTGATAACATAACTCTTTTTGCCTCCTGAGCACACAATTATTCCCGAAAACATCAGAGAGATAAAGGTGACCAATTATAAGCTATCAAGTGAAAGACATATAATCGTGAGAGTAGAAAAACCCACAAGTTTCTCCACTGGTATTAACCACAACAAGCATTAACATACAAAAAATGCTTCATACCTTTGCAGTCAAACTGAAAAATCCCTTTGGTTCAATCATTTTTTCTAAGACATGGCACTTTATTCCAGCTGTGCTATCATACTCATAAACCACTCCATACTCCAGATGAACATTGTCAACAGTCAGACTCACATGATCTTTCTTCCCATCAATTATTGCCATAGTGTTAAATTTGTCAATTACCTCTAGAATAAGTAAAGTAACACAAATCAGTTCACAAGTCCTGGCCATTAAGAGAACTATAAACGACACAGGCAAACATTCTAGAAAGGGGTATGTTCTGATCATTCTATTTAAAAACATTTATTAAAAAACCTGGCTGAAAAATATAAAAATCAGAACACCAGTAGATTTGTAGATGTTAAAATACTGGACTGCAAAACAGGCAGCTCTCTTTCTTTACAAACTGCTATTTAAGGGAGCTAATTTCATTTATAATCCAGAGACATTAGGAAGGACTCAAAAAACGGAAAACTGTGAATTTCTAAATAAAGTAGAAGAATATCACTATGAAAACTGTCAACATTCAGAAATGAAACTACAATAACTGCCTTTATGAAGGCACAGTTCACATATTAACTGTCTCTTTAATTACAAGTTGCAGATGAATGCAGTTTTATCTAAATGTTAATTGTCTGAAAATAATCTGAAAGATAGTAGTTTTTTTTATTTCCTATGCAGTAATGACTAATGTATCTAGTTTGCCATAAGTGATTACTAGTGGTAAAAATAAATCAGCTAATGCCTAAGTTTATGTTTCTTACAAATAAAAATAAACAGATTTTCCCCAAAGTGTTAGTGGAAATATTTTCTTTAAATGGGAAAGATAGTAGCTTTTAAAGAATAGCATGTTAAATTTGTATGCTTAAAATACATAAGAAAACAAATCCTTATGTAAATCATATCTTAGGATCTGCTCAAAATTTCCTCTCGGCAAATAAACCCACTGCCTAAATTTTCCTTGTATTATAACAGCATTCTCAGCAACAAGATCAAGGAAACATCACCTACCTTCCACTTTGCAGTCAAAGGCATCACCTCCATCATCTCCAGAGGGTTTGATGTTTGCTTTCTGAAGATCTTCCTGCGCACTTTCAATGCTGTTGTAAACCCACTGTATAGAATCTTGCTAGAAAAACAACAAAAAATAGACAGGTAGAAAAAGCTTTGCAAGTGCAACTGATAGCAACTATTTCACTACTTTTAAGGCATAAGTTTAAAAAAAAAATCCAGAGCATTTTGGCAAGTTATTTTTTATTACAGCATATATTGTCATGAGACAGTATGAAGTCTGTGACAGCATGACATCCATAATTTTTATGTCTCTGCCAAAAATAATTTAAGATAGCTCAAATCAAATTGCAGATTGAAAAATATTTTTCTCCAAGAAATCATGGTGAAAAAACAATTTTTGCTTTGCTAAATCTGCTGTGCATCCACAAACCTGGTAGCAAAAGTTATGGAGTATCAACCAAAGACAGAGAATGTCCAGCTAATCCATAACCATCTGTCACTGGCATAAGGAACCTATACTACAGCCTTCATTACTTATATTTGCCTTGACTACAAATATTTTACTAGTGTAGTAATAAATGTTTTTTATTTTTATATTATATTTTATTATTATATATTGCAATGCCAATCTCTAATAGGAAATACTCACTACTTAACCTGGAAGTCTCTTTTCCAAAAGTTAACAACCAATCTAATGCAATATGACTTGGAGCAATGTCCTTCAAAATCATTACAGGAGAACCAACTAAGCATAAGTCTGTCACATCATGATTAGTATCACTGCAAAGGAATTGTAATTCCAAGAAGTAAAATCTGGTCTCAATTTTCTTTATTCAGACAAGACAGAAGGAAGATAAACATTGTCCAACAGGAACTGCGCAGTTATTGACCAAAGGAATCTGAACGGAAGCTTCATGCTGCAGGAGATTAGGAAGACTTTTTACCCTGAGAAGTAAAAGATGTAAGAAACAAAAAAAGATTCCCTTTCAATTATGCAATTGGGAACCACAGAAGAGACTGCAATATTCTGGGTAATTAAGTGATAGGCTGTGTGCACTGTACTTACAAAATAGGAGAAATCCATAGTCATTTTCCAAATAATAAAAAAATACCCCACCAAATTTCTGAATAGGAAATTAAATTTTAGTTGTCTTTTTACCAGAGGGAATACTACCATTTACTTCAGTCTAGACAATTCTCCCATAGTTTTTGATAATACTGCATCCTAAATGAAGTTTTTAATTTCTTGCCTGTCTAAGGAACTTCAGTTACCTGTGATTTGCTGAATTATGATCAGCTACTTTTTAAAACTAAAATAAATACTATGTATAGGAAAAAAATTCAAGTTATTACACAAGTCGATTAAAAAACCCAAAGTAATTTTTTAATGTCAAGGCATTCACACCAGTCAACATTAATCAACCGTCTTTGGATGTCACTAATATCCATAGGAAGTCTACAGTTTTACACAGCGAGAACAAAAGTGCTATAATGAATTTAATGTATCTTTTATTCTAGCCAGTTTTGCTACTAGTGAACAGGACATTTTCTCTTTAATAGAGTGCATCTTCCTTTAAAGAACAGGTGAGTTTGACCTTGAAATGCCATGTAACTATTTCAATTCTGTATTATCATTTACACACAAACATCCCAAGAACATTTTCACAAAAACTGTATTTATGTGAGCCAGTTATAACTACATAATTCTTATAACTCTGAGGTAGGTGTGGGAGAAGGATTCAACTCTTAGTTTTAATTAGATTTTTCTCCTCAGTAAACACGTACTTGAATAATTTGTGAAGTTAATTAATAATATTGGTTCACAGTTTAGGAAAAACTTGCACAGAATTGGAAAATCACATTATAGAATCCAGCTTGGTTTGGTTTTCTTCCTAAATTTGTGTCTTGGAAGCCTGAGATTTTCTCCTTAAATAACACAACAAAGATAACAAAATTTGCATGCATTTAAAAAAAGGAAATTTTGAGTCCTTTAATATATACTTATTCTCAAGACTGGAATGCAATGGGAATTCTTTTATGGGTGGAATATATGCGCTCTGCTCTCTGTGTACTGAAGTGTAACAAAATTCTGGAAGATCAGTTTTATGAATTTCATTCTCCTGCTGCTGAGCAGGCAGAAAGGTGTGTGATTCCCTCTCCATCAAGATGAGAATATACCTCAAAATTCTTTCTGCATAGGACTGCAGAAATGCTTGAAATAGCCCTTTTAAAACACCATTTAAAAATTATCTATATTTATTTCAGTGCAGCAACTAAGCAGATTTTGAACATCACCACTGAGCAATCTTCAGCTTTTACACTTCAATTGGCTTTCCTTCAGTTTTATTGACTACTTCTTTCCTCTCACCCCACTCAAACACAGTAGACTTGTGCATAGAGATTAACACCACACTGTTTACTTTGACCAAAAATAGAAATCTAGAAGAACATGTGCAAGGGCACCAAATGAGACATACCTGCATTGGCCGCCTGTACTTCCTGCAGGCTGTGACATGAGCAATAACACTTGCATGAGTCTCTTTGCTGACATTAATTCCATTCACTTTGATTATGCACTGGCCAGGGTGGAGACCTGCTGCAGCTGCCACTGTTCCTATTCATAAAAACCCACACTGTTAGCAAACTTCTTTTTCTAAACATCTCCTTTCAAGCTTACAGTCCAAAAAACCTCTTTTTTTAAAAAATCAGAACCTGGTCTGACTGATCCTTACATACTTCCCTTGACCACAGAGTACTTCTGTAGACCAGCTGGATGTCAAGAAAATGGAGTTTGTCAGCAGATGTTTCCATAAAAGAGACCAGACAATTTCCTAAAGGCTGCTTTACAAAACAACAAACATTGACTAGTAATATGAAAATGTGGAAAATTCACCTCAAAAAAAAAGGACTTTAAAAGGATAAAATGGCTCTAGCTTGAAAGTCACAAGTTACAACTTAACCTACTTTTATATGACCCAAGCTTATGAGCCTCTTGTTTAATTCAGGTATTTCAATTTTACATACAAAACAGAAGTTTTCTGGCAATACATAAAGTGTAAGAGCATACTAGAATATCATGTTAATCATTAAGTGAAATATCTAAATTACAAAGACATTTCCAAAGATGATGTTCTTTTTTTCATCTTCCCTACCAACACAATTATAGCAGAGGGCCTTAGAGCTTTTAATCAAAATCTCAAAGATAATTAAGTAGAATATTTGAAATTAAATTATCAGAGGGTGGGACAGGTGGACACACACAACATGACACCAAAACAAAACATTCTCTTTAAGCTACATAAAATATTTGGTTATTTTCACAACTGAATGAACTGAATAACCACATTGGGAAAATCTAGTGACTGAATAGGCACTACAAAAAAGAGCAGTTGTCTCCAGGTCTTTACAGTGTGATTCAAACTCACTCCTGAAAAACAGCCTGCTGGAGTATGAGCTTAGCTCCAGCTACCTGAACATTCGCCTCCAAATGTCTCTTGATACTGGCACAGAGGTGCCAAGGAAGTAAAAATCTACTGCCTAGAGACTGCCAGACTGGGTTGCAGAAGCTAGGGGCTGTGAAAGAACAGGCTAGACTGAATTTGTAGGGCTGAGAAATAGAAAGCTTGTCTCGACTTCATGACTTGCCAGTTGAGCACATCTGACTAGGAAATAACTTGCAGAATATACATGAGCTTCCCTCATTTTAGGAATTATCACTATTAGATTAAAGCTGCGTTTAAAATCTAATATAAAAGAAAGTCATTGGAAATTACACAATTACCAGCTATCACAATCTCCCCTCCCCCCAAAATGACTTAAAAATAAACATATAAATAGATCTTATTTAATATCTATCTCAAAAAAAACCACCAAACCACAACAACAAAAACAACAAATCACTCTTCAGAAAACCCCAAGGTCCCAATTCAGCAAAGTATTTAAGCACACGCTTAAAATCTTCCAGGTTTAGCAAATCACACAAGCAAGCACTTGCATATTGTTGAGGCTAATCAGAATAAAGTATGTGCCTAATGAATAATGATAGGCAGTTGAATTGATATCCAGGTGCAGAAGTAATTAACACATCAGCTACTAAGTCTGTAGTTTATTAGTCCTTCTTTTGAAAATCTAATTTCCGGCACCACAGCCTAGAAAAAATGTCATCAAACTCTGTTCAAATCTGGCTTTTGCAGATCAGTTTTGCAGATCAGTTCACTTTTCATGCCTCAGTTACAAAAGCAGGAGGGGGGAATGAGACACAACTGTCCCACAATAACTGAAAATACATTAGTTTGCTCTACCATAAGCAACATGAGGCAGCAAGAAATAATGCTTCAACTTCTTTTAGTACAAGTGCACTGCTCAAAAACAGTGAGTTAGGATAGCAAGCATCTGAAAATCACATCCCAAAAGAATATTTATGTGAACCATCTGCAATTACTAAGACAAAGCTACTAACACTCTTGAAAAGATTTGTAAAAAGCACATTTCTTTGTAAAATGTTTTCAGAACACTGCAGAACCACACAGCCACCAAACAAATTAACACACAGGTTCCTAACATGCAGTTGGTATTGCATCCTTCACCTACTCCTTATTCTGTAAAGAATGCACAGCTTTAACTTAACTTTCCTACATTGGTGTAACTACACTTAAAAAAAACAGCTGGAAGATGTATCCAAGCTTACAGAGTATAAGTACACAAAACAATTATAATTGAGTTTATTTAATATTATTTGTTACTTTGGGAAAAACAAAAATTTAAGATGGATTACTGGACTGAATTTTGACTCATCTCAACCAAATCATTTAGATATTAAACAAATATTTACCACTACCATTGACAGCTCTTATGGCTTACCTCTCCCAACAGCATGGACAACAGATGGGCCAAAACCCCGGATTTGGAATCCAAGTCCATCTGCAGAGTCAGGAATCTTCACTGTCCTGACACAAACAAAGATTTAACATGAATGTAGCAAAAGGTAGCATTTTGTTATTCACCAGTATGTAGGTTACAAGGCTGTAAAACTCCACACTTTTATTCAAATCAGTTTTCAGATTTTGCAGTATTCATATTCCAAATACTGTGCACCACCAACATCAGAAATAAGAGCAAGCTGAGACAGCACAAACAATCTATTTCACAGGGAAATTCAATATGCTGATTAAAATCAAAACACCACCATAGCTTTAAAATTCCTCCCAAACAGACTGATCTTTAGGTAAGCTGCCGTTGCACAGCAACACTGAAAGCCCTGGGAAGGGCAGTCTCTCCCAGCCAAGAGGACAGAACCTGGGGACCAGAGATCACAGCAGGTCTGATCAGAGAAGCTGCAGAAAACTGCAGAACTCAGATACATATTACATTTTAACAGAATCACAGAATGTGCTGAGTTCGAAGGGACCCACAAGGGACCCCCAACTCCTGGCCTTGCACAGACCCCCAAGAGTCACACCATGTGCCTGAGAGCACTGTCCAAGCACTTCTTGAACTCTGTCAGGCTGGGGCTGTGACCACTTCTCTGGGGAGCCCGATCCATTGCCCAACCACCCTCTGGGTGAAGAACATTTTTATAATATCCAACATAAACTCCCCTGACAGAATTACAGGCCTTTCCCTCGGGTCCTGTCACTGGTCACCAGAGAGAAAAGATCAGTGTCTACCCCTCCTTTTCTGCTCCCAAGGAAATTGCAGACTGCAGTGAGGTATCCTGTCATAAAAGGCAATTTTGTTTGATAAGCAGGACTCTCCTCTCATGAAGCCATGCTGACTGTGACCAATGCCTGTGCTGTGTCTCAGGTGTTTTTCAATACCTCCCAGAATAATCTTCTCCATAACTTTACCAGACACAGCAGTGAGACTGACAGGCCTGTAGTTTCCCAGGTCCTCTTTTCCTTCTTGAAAATTGGGATGTTTGCCAGCTTCCAGTCAGCTGGGACCTCTTCAGATTCCCAAGACAACTCAAAAATCATCAAGAGAGGCTTTACAATGACATCAGCTAGCCCTTTAAGGATTCTTGGACAACCCTCATCAGGTCCCATAGATTTGTAGAGTTCCAACTGAAGCACCAGATCTCACACAATTCAGGGCTGGCTGGGTGTTGATCATTCTCACAGTCATAGTCCTCCAGCTCAGGGCACTGAGACCCCCTTTGGACCACCACCCATGTCAAAGATGGAGGTAAAGAATAAATTAAACACCTCTGCATTGCCCCTGTCCTCTTCTGTGAGGTGACCATCCTGTAACAGGTCAATATTATTTTTATATGACCTATTGCCATTCATATACTTGAAAAACTCTTTATTGTCCCCCACATTTCTGGCCAGCTTCAACTTCAGTTGACCTTTGGCCACATGAATTCTCTCCCAGCAGTAGTGAGCAGCATCTCTGCACTTTTCCCATGTCCCTTGGCCTTGCTTCCATTGGGCATACACTTTCCTTTCTAGCTTTATTTCCAGAGAATATTCCTGTTCAACCAAGCTGGCCTTCTGCCTCACCTGCTTGACTTCTCAGTTTGGGAGCTGCCTGCTCCTGTGCCCTTAGGAGGTGATGTTTAAATAGTGACCAACAACTGCAAAGACATTTTCACTCTGAAATAATGACTCCCATCAGGTGTTAGCAGACAAGGTGTTGAGTAGATCATCCTGTAGTCAAACAAACCCAAAATTTTTCGGCCGACACCAACTTTGGAGCCATGTATTGACCTAATGGATCTGCCTAATCCTATTGATATTATTCCTTCTTACTGGAAAAATCAACAAAATCAACTACCATGCTCCTGATCCCTCTACCAAGCGTCTCAGGGCACTGTAGTCTTTTTTGATTGCCTTCAGACTTCTCTGTTTTACTTCATCACTGCCAGTTTGAACAATCATTAGCAGAGAGTAATCAGAGGGCCTTACTAGACTGGATTGTTTTCCAGTAATATCCCTTATCCGAGCCCCCAGGAGACAGCAGACTTCCCTGTGAGTTGGGTCAGGTCTGCATATCAGCCCCTCCACTCCTCTTGGAAGGGAGTCTCCTATCACAACAACCCTTCTTTTCCTGTTAGCAGAGGAGGTCTTGATGCAGGGTGCAGGTAGTGTCATTTCAGGAAGCCCCACCATCCCAGAAGGATCTTGCCCCACCTCATCAGTTGTTTGGCCTTCTAGGTCCAGAGCCCCAGACCTGTTGTACAAGGTACCAGTCCTACTTGTCAAATTCAGAGGAAGAGAAACCTTCTTGCTGCTACGTGCTGTGATGCGCCTCCAGCCTTCATCTTTATCAGACCCCTGGCTAACAGTCCTTTGACTAATTACCCTAATTACCCTGCAGGGCTCTGAGTCCTTCTGTTCTTCACCACAATGGAGGTTCAAGACTCCGGGGAGTCTGAGACTTGTAGAATTGCTGAAAATAATTGCTCTCTCTTTTGCTCATTCACTCACACACTGCACAGCCAGTTGACTTCTTCCTGTAGCTCCACCTGCAGCACAGCTCCTCAAACACAGCACACTTTCTGCAAAATAACTCTTTGCAGTCCTCAGCCTGGCAAAGAGGCATCAGGCACCCCCAGCAGCCTGTGCCTCTTCTTGCTGAGTTTTCTTGAAATAATGTTTCATTGCAGTTTTTCTGAGCAGCTACAGAAAGTAGCTACTGAGTTTTGTAAAGTAAGAATCATCCACTGCTGTTGGCATGACTTGTAAGCACATTGTGCTGTGCTCCTGCTTGGTCTAAGAACAAGAGTAATAAACCTACCAACAAAACCATGACTCTGACAATCAAAATTCACATCTACTCCTTCAAATTAAGCCCTGAACTCACCCAAAGTAAACTAGCATACCCTCGTGATATCAGCTCAGGGTCTACAAAAAGCAACACAGCTGCATTAGCCCTTATCAGAGCTAGTTAGGTCATGCATAACAGTGCACTGATTTAACTTTGAAGCCTTTCCATCCAGAGTCAGCTCTGTTATTATCTCAGAGATCTTTGCCCCAGGCTCCATTTCCCATTGCAAAAACAAACAAATTCAAATTGATACTGAAAAGTGATTTTAAAATGCATTTGGACTGTAGTAAACTTGATTTACAGGCAGTTTTGAATAAGAGAATTGCATCATTTCTCACACTTTTTTTTTCTAGTATACGTTGTATATAATGTACATTTGGAGATGATCATCATCAGAGGTGAGATCTAAACTTCACTGAAATTTATTTCTTTTTAAATGTACTCATATATTAACTATTGATACCATCTATTTGATTGCATTCTGAAACTGCTTTAAGAACATGCAAATAACTATGAAAGACCATCACTGGCAGTTTAGGCTAAGAATTCAGGAGAGAACTGTCTTCTGTGAACTCAGCTGTGCTAGCAGCAGCTGCTGACAAAAAGCAGTGAACACTGAGAAACAAATTTGACTTCTGTGAACTCCACATTCACTAGACCATCTCTCTCAACCTTGAAATTCACCCACAAGCTGAGTCAGAAATTAAACCAAGATTTGCATTAAAGAAAGGCCAAGATATGCCTGTTACGTTTTCTACAGTTCTGTGGTCTGGGGATTTTTTAATTGTTATTTTTGTTTGGGGGTGGGAACAGGTGTTGCAGTATCAGTCCAGATAGGCATCTTTATGCCTTATTTATCTTTCTTAGCTCTTTTTCCTGTTCTGGGTGCCATTTGACTTCTCAAGACACCTTTGCTTACTAAGAGGAGAAATATATCTTCCATCTGCTACTTAACCAGAGCCATTTCTGAGTAAGGCACACTGTATGCTGTGTGGTAACAGAGAATGGCACCTCTTTATGACGCAAATTTTGAATAAAAATTTACTTCTGACAAGTTTTTCTTAGTAGTCTTCTTCTTTATTATATATAACCTAGCAAAAACTGCATTAACCTTACTAATACACTTATGCTCATTTACATATTTACTGAACCCACCTGTTAGGCCCTTTTACATAACAAAACTTGTGTTTAGGTAGGAATGGGCAAACCTGTGTAAAGAAATGCATCTGTTTGATAAAGATGAGGATTTATGATGTTTAAGATGATGTTTATTTCCTTAAGATTTAAGATGATGTTTATTTCCTCCTGCTGTTTACACAACCAACACACAAGCTGAAGGGGCCCATGAGACCACAGAATCTGACAATGACAAACCAGCAACTAATCCCCAGACACAGGAATTTGTTTAATGCACACAGTGAGAGATAAGTGATCAAAACTGACCATATAGTCAATGAAACTTCATTTAAATTTGCAGTACCTGCATGTATTTACAGTGGCAGAGCTGAAGATCTAAAGCACTTGTGATTCTTTTGCTGACTCACAAATAGGATAAAACAAAATCAAGGCAAATCAAATTGCTTGACTTTGCAAAGTCAGATCAGATACAGCATTGAAAAACCGTTTACAGTAGTGCTCTCCGAAGTTCCACTGGTCTGAAAATCCACTTCAATTGTTGTTTGTAAAATTTCCCAAAGGAATGATAACTTACTCTCGAGGTTTGGTGCTCACAAGAACCCGCAGGGGCTTTCTGCTGTTTAAACAGGCTTTCAGGAAGCAATCCACTTCACTGAAGGGTCGCAGAAAAACCAGGTCACCATTAATGGCAAAGATTTTCTTCCCAACTTCCAAGCCTGCCATCTAGAAAATAACAACAGTTGTGTACATGTTTGCTTTTTATAACCACTAACATTATGTTTTCTTCTGCTGGCATGCAATCCCAATAGAAAAAATGACATTCACATTTTCTTTACAGTCTTTATGACTCCTTCACATACCATGCATAGGGGATTTACACCATAAAATGTTTGTAAAACTGGTTAAATTCATGTGAAGGGTAAGCACTCATTCTGAAGAGAGCTAAATACAAGACCTAGTATTAATCAAGAGTTTGTGACAGTATCACAATACCCGTTCATTTTTTAGCAATTAACACAACAGCTTTGACTGAGCCATTTATTTTATGACTGTACTTAATTTTTCATCCACCATCTTCCAAAGGAACTAAAGTTTCTCTTCATAAATAAATACTCAACTAATATTTTAGTAAGTGAATACTAGCTGAGTTCCATAACAAAGAGTTTTTAAACTTTGGTCTAACAGGAAAAGCACCATTGCAACAGAACTACAGGAGTACAAAGAGTGGCTCAGGGTATGGGCAAAGCCCTAGTGCCACCTGAGAATATGGCAGAACCTGACTGCGAAATCACCTCATTTAGCTCTGTGGCTGAATTATATTATTCATTTACTCTGTCTATTTATAATTTAAATTTGTACTCCACCATGTGATTTAGAAAGCCTTGAAATCTAAGTCCAAGTTGTTCTCTCATGAAAGAGCATCACACTTTATCTTTACATATACAAGGACTCCCATGCTGCTCAGTAGAATATTAATTAATCCAAACAGAATCTAAAGCAATGCTACCAAACAGGAAGGCTGTAATTTATTCATTCAGAGTCTCAAATTCCAGATTTTATCAAAAGCTTGATATATCCTTTACTATGAAATATGTCAACTGCAACTCACAGACTAGCTCTATACCCATTTCATATTCTACCAATAATGTTTATTTCAGTTATGATTAATGTCATCACTGGAATATTATAAAATGCATAAAAATAAAATCACAACCTTTATATCATCAATCAACATGACAATTTAGCTGAGCAGAAAATACGTGCCAAAATAATGGTCAAAACAATATTTTAAATGAAACAAAAACTAAAAAGAAAACAAACAAAAAACCAAATCAAAAACAACAACACAATCAACCAAAAAAAAAAGAAGGGGGAAAAGGAAAAGATTCATAGGCACAGCTTTCTTGGTAAGTGTTCACTGTCACCTTCTACTACTATAGACTTTCCTACATGATGTACAAAACATACATCTGTGGTCAAGCAAATAAAACAGGAAAGATAAGTTATAATATTCCATACCTCAGCATTGGATCCTTTCTCCACCACTTTAATAATTGGCACCTTATTTTTATCTTCTAAACCAAAACCATAGGTTCCTTCATTAGATTTGATCTGTAAAAAAAAATTTTAAAATGTTGTTCAGAAAGGCATTAATAAAAACTGAAGTTTGTCTTCATTCAGTAACAATAAATTGTTCTAATATGTTGTCATTATGACAAATTTGTTTATTCATCAAAGCACACAGTGATAGTGTTTCACTCACCAGTAATGACTTGGCTATGACATTTTCCACTACTTTCAGATCATGTTTCATGAGTCTGTGCTTCATATTTGATCCTTCCATTTCTTCATCCGCATAAAACCGGAACAGCAGTGGTTCATCTTTAAATTCACTTTTCTCTAACACTGTATGACAGAAACCCAGACATATTAATCTTTATTTTCTTTTGAACTTTTGAATATCATGTCTTTCATGAGCCATTAAATACTGAACATGCATACACATATTGAATGCTAGCAAAATATTTTTCTGTGTATGAATCTAGGGAAATCTTTTAACATCAACAACAATTGTTATTTGGATTCATTACCGAAAGATAGGTATCACTAAGCTCATTTTTTCAACTACAACATCTGGGTTCCACCACGCTGAGAAAGATGCATTAGTCTGAAATAGTTTTATTGAAAATACTAAGCACAAGGTTTCTTCCTAAAAGGGATTTCAAAACATTATTTTGAAAAGTTCTGCTGGACAGCTGCTGAAGATGCTCGCCACCAAGTTCTGGCATTCTCCAGATAGTGAAGCATGCTGGGCTTAGAATTAGAAACAGGTTTGCTGGGGATGTGGAAGCAAGCAGAACAGCCAATGGATGCAGCTTGTGTGTTCAAAACTCAAAGGAAAAAGAATAAACAATACCAGAGAGAATGTTCTCAACTCCTTGTCTAAACAAACTGATAAAAAATATTTCTTCCTCTTTTCATTTCAGTAAATGACCTACTACTTCAATCCTTTCACTGAAATCTTCCCTCTGATGGTATTAAATGGGCCCTTGTTCACCTTAATTTTGGTGCTGCACATACCTCTGGGCTCCTCTCCTTTCTTTGTTCTTTGCTATCTTTATGATTTTCTCATTTTTCTCCAAGCCACTTTCTCCCGTTGTCATCACTTTTTTGAAGTCATGCTCCTTCATACCTTATTAATTCCCTCCAAATTCTCACATTTCTTTGTTACATTTATTTTTATTGTCTCATCAGTGCCAACATGCATTACTTTCTGAAGACATTTCTTGCAAAGTGACTAATAAAACTGCCCCCACTAAATCCTTTAGCGGATTAATTCCTCAGCAATTGCTATAAAATTGGATATAATTTTCAGAGTATACAATAGCTATTTTTTTTTCTTGAAGACTGTAGCATCAATCTCTTTAGTGATACAACAGAAGAACTTTCCATCTGTTCTGTAATATCTTTATCAGCTCCTGCATTTCCATCCAGCTGTGCAGATAACATCAAACAGAAAGTAAGCATAGCTTGTACAGAATGTATTTACTTACCATGGTGCATAAACCCATTATCACAAAGAGCTACACCAAATATCATAGCTTCCTCCCTTGTCCGGCAATCCCCCTGTTAAAACACAGTACATTTTTAAAATCTACTTTAAAATATCAGCAAAATGGAAACTGTGCAAAATGGCATAATCCCACAGGGATGGCAATTATTGTAGATTACATTTGCCACCACCACCTTTATGTATACATTTCTAGCATATATATACACACCAGTACATACATGTTTATCATAGAATTAGAGAGCAGTTTGAGTTGGAAGGGACCTTTATATGCTATAACACTCTATAATTACAAATAAATAGGAAAAGACTTCAGTAAGGCTGCATTCTCCCTAAAAATTGAGCATAATAGAACCTATAAGCATCAAAGTTTTAAACTTTTATTTTATGGAACTAGTGCATGTTGACAGATTGAACAGGATACAATGTGGTTTTTTCTCTCGTTCACTTAAAATGAAACAGAATTGATGGCAGCAAATTGCTACTGATTTTTGCTCATTTAGTTTCGCATTTCATTTCATTTTAAGCCATGGACAGTGTATATGCTGAATCACAAAGCTAAGTGTCGTCAAAACATTTCAATACAATTTCAGATCAGGAAGACAAGCAGAAGAGAGATGAAAAGCATAGCTGATGACAGCCGATTTCTGTTACTTTACTGGTTTAAGAGGATTACACTACACAAAGTGTTTGTATGTTGTTCTTGATATACCACTAGCTTTCAAATCAGAATTTAAATGCAAAACATACATAAATCCAAATGTATCTACTTGCCTGGGCAATCAACCAATCTATGAATTTGTTAGCCATAACCACAGATTTGTAGGTTCTCAAGTGATAGTCTTTATCCCTGTTCAAAGTAACACAAAACAATTTTTCAAAATCAAACAAAAGCTCAGAAGAAAAATACTTGTAGTTTATAAGCAAGTTAGTGCAAGCATGAATTGAGGACTTAATAATGATTGAGAAGTTTTCTCAGGAGGAGAAAATAGCAAATTAAGTCTTTCTTGTAGACAGAAAGGAGGAGGCTGATCACAACTTATTTGGGTGATATTGTCACTGCAGTATAAAAGCAGGTGAGTTGTTCTGGGACTATTCAAATGAGGTAATGGTGTATTAGTAAAGGAGTGCACTAGTATATACAGCAAGCATAAAAGCATATCCATCAGGACCTAGGAGGCTCTAGAAGTCCATTTAAAAGGTTATATTGAACAGAGTTAGCAGCCATTTAGTGGTTCAGTTATGCTTTTTGTCCTGACAGCATATCAATCTTATCTGATTACTCTCAAAAGAACAATCTTGAAAGGATGGGTTAGGTTCCTACATTCAAACACAGTATCTTCAGATCATGTACTTCTTCCAAATGACTCCCTCAGGATTTCCCAACTGGACTTACCTAATTACTGGGGTAAAGAGACTGTGAAGGCGACAGTACAGTCGCACACCCTGTTAAAGAGAAAGAGGTGGTGAGTTAAGCACACATTCACATCACAGACAAGAGGCAGGGACATAGTAAGGAAGTCTGAATGCTGTCAATGCATCTCCTTCACACAGTGAAAAGACATGTTCAAATTTCTATGTATCTTCATGTGCCAAAACAAAGTTTGCCGATAACAACACTGATGAATAAATTATGAGAACGAAAACATTTCCAATCCAACCTAAGCTTACTGAGACACATGCAAAACAGATTAGCTTTAAGGGAGCATTAAAAAATTCTGAAGTTTCGAAATACTTAGAAATAAAAACACACAAAAAATAAATCAACGTTTTCATGCATTAAGGCTGTCCCGAACAGTGGTTGCTATTCTACACACAACTGTGGAATTAAAGTAAAAACCACTGCATTTCATTATATGCATCAATACTTTGCTTACAAATTAGAATTATAACTAATCAATTATAAAAATGCAAAAAGATTCAAAGATTGGAGATGTTTTCTATTAAAATCAAATAAATTATACATCTGCAGTAGTTTCTTAAACTACCATCAGAAAATTGTATTTTAAAAAAGAAAAACACATTAGTATTACTTAGGAAACTATAAAAAAGCAATTATGTTTATAATATGCAAGTATAATGACTAAAAGTTGTATCAAATTAGATTCCATCCTACTTTGCTCTGCCTGGGAGCTCAGTATTGTAGATTACTTTAGGTGCACTTTATATTAACAAGTGGAGCAAAAATCAAATTATACTGCAGCAAAAATTAAATTATACTGCAGTGTAATACCCAAATGCAGACACTTTCTACTGACTCCAAATCATGACAAATTTGAATACCAATGAATTTAAAGGAAACTCTGATCAATCTTTTCATTGTTGTCAGAAACACAGATAGGTGGTATAACCTATTATGTCTAAACATCAATGTGACAATAGATTTACTGCCTAGTTAGGACACGAATAAAGGACACTGAGATTTTAGAGAAATTTGAAAGCAGTTTCCTACATATATCTTCATATCTATGAGAAGGGACTAAAAAATACAATAGACTGAACCTCAGCTTCAGGATTACCCAGCAATTACACAAGCAATGCATTCTGCATATGAAACCACTGAACAGCAACTATAACTACATAATAGCAAATTGTCATTTTGTATTTAAAATATGTAAAAATTAACCAAAAGCTTACAAATGGAAAACTGAATTTGATTCACATAAATATAGAGTGGTAACTGTGAGGGGATGTTGTTTCTCCCAGCAAATTTTACATTACTTTTCAAGCAGAATCTCAGTTTCTGATGTGCTCTTCCTAATAATAGCAACTATTTTATTCTGTACCTTGGAGATCACATCCTGCATCTCATTTCTGGGATAGTATGTTCCATCATCATATCGGAATCTGTACAGCATGTGTTCAGGTTTGAATTGGTGCTTATCTGTAACTAAATTAAAAGAAAAAAAGGCATTGTTAGATGACTTTCTGAAGAAACCAAGGAGAGAGAGAGAAAAGTCATTTCTTCTAGTAAGAGCCCTAAGCACAGCAATGGGTAGATTTCAAACAGGGAGACCAGGAAGCTCGGTTAGATCATCTGCCCTAAGCTCCTTTAAGCCACTGGTGACAATATTTCTTACAACATTTTAGCACAGAAGAAAACAGTTTGAAGTCACAGGGCAAAGAATAAGGAAGACAGGCAGGGGACAGCATGAAAAATTAGGCACTCAAATCCTTTTAGTCTTCAGTGCTTTTGCAGAGCTTATCAAGCAAATAGCCAAATAAGACTTATTTTGCAACTATTCATATTATTTTTCCACATTATTTTCTGTACTCATTCTTGATGAGGCCAATCTCAGATGATTCAGTAAATATACAGACACTTCACAACACATTTGACCAGTCTTACAGTGGCACAAAGAAGAGATGAATGTCTCCATCTATATACAGTCACCTAAACATCCTAAGTGCAAGAGACTAGCAATTATTATGAAGATGTTGATAATGTATGTCCTCAAGGACTTGGGGAAAAGGATCTTAAAAGGTGGACTTCCAGAGTTTCACAAGATTCCAGCAACAAATCAAACAACTTCCAGTGTTTTGTCAAAAAAAGTCATAACATAGGATACAAAGGTTCTCCTGGAAACTGCAAATCTTTCTGAAAAACAGCTGATCCATTTGATGGTGGAGGACAGGCTTAGGCATTATCACCATCCTAAGATAACTACTTTCTTAATTACACTTTTACTTGCAGTTGTATGCTTTAATTTTGAAAGTCAATTTCCATGCCATCAACTGATAAAGGAAGGTGCTGTAATGTCTTCATTTATCAGAGTAACATACCTGAGAGAGTTAGGTAATTCTGTACATGCCTTCCCATAGCAAATGATTATGCAATCATACATAATTCTCTTCCAAAAATTTAGTTAAGCATTACAAACTTTGTATAGTGAGATGCCTTCCATCTATGTAGTTTTTCATGCCCCTTCAAGCTCCTCAGTATTTCCACACATCATCTGATACACAGACATAAAAACTCAACTTCATATATTAATTGGTTTCACCAGTGTCATGTGCAAGAGCAAAATAACATCTCTACCTGCATTTGATATAGCTACTAATAGTAAAGCCCAGGACACTATTCCAATTGTTTTGAACTGATAGTTATTCAAAATAATTCCTAAGTTCTGTCATTGCCTCTAAATACATGAGATACAGACTACAAAATTTCCACATATAATGCTTAACATAAGTAACTACATAAATTTTAATGGATTGTGACCATTTAACTAAGAAAAAAGGAGTCTTCTAGCTCTATAATTAAAAAATATTCCTACTGTTGAAGAAAAATAATGTAATCCAATAGATTAACAAATAAAAAGTAGAAAAAGCCCAGCAAGTTCCGAAAATAAAAAAACACCATCAAGACAGTTTTGCCTAAAGCCAAATTATTCCTCATTCATACAGGGATGTGCTGGGAGGGAACCAGGATGACAAAGCACCTCTCCTTTCTTGCATGCATGTGACAGACAGAGCAGGCTATGCCCTCTGAGGAACACAAGTACCACGCTGTCCCAACTTATCATAGTGCGCCAGGAACTAAGGGAGTAGCTCCACAGAGCTGGGACATGCTGGGTTTCAAAAACTTAGGCTCACAAAAAGCTGCATTACCACTAAAATAAGGAAGGCCAAGTTGTTTTGTGTGTCATTTCTAACACTGTACCCATATTTATGCTGGGAAAGGTATTTATATGGCATATGCTAAGGTTTAAACTGCTCTTTTAATATAATCTTTTTGCCAAGGTAATTTAAAATCAGATCATTACATCAGTCCAAGAAACTGCACAGCCACATAAATACCTATTCATTTTAGAACTATCTGATATTCGGTTTATTTTTGTAACTACAAAGGTCCTTAATCCATTGAAACAAGGTTTCCATCTCTAATCAGCTGCAGCAAGTGTACTAAGTACCTCACTCCACTGAATGGTATCAGTCATTTCAGATATCAGAGAATTCCACAAGGTATATTTAAAATAGCAGCATACAAACAGATTTTTCCCCTTATATAAAAGTGGAGGGGGAAAAAATGGAAAAAAACTGTAACTTTTCTGCTTGCTTGCTAGAGTTCACACATGAGGAAGTACAACAATGTCTATCACAACATGGCTCTGTCATTGCTAGAATGAACTCCAGCACAGTGACAATAATGGCCAGCTACTGAATATGCAAGCTCTCAACAAAGGCCTCTACAATATTTGCAATGTAAATAACAGCCAAACGTTCTTCCTCCCTTGCTCCCTCTGTGAAAACAGATGGTTCATTCAACTTTATTTTAGGAATGCTATTTTCAGTGAACTACAGCTGGATTCACTATTCAAAGTAGCATGTCTGGCTCACATTTCTGTGCTCTAATATAATTACCCTTTTATCTCATGAAGTTACACAATATTCATTTAACTTTGCATTGAGAAAATCTATGGGTGTATTTAGGATATAAATTACAAGATCAGGAGAAGAATCTCTGGCAACAGAATCATTCTATTGAAAACAGTTCAGTGTGTGTAGTAAACAGAATAGCATCTGACATTTGAATGATGGTGGAGGAAAATCACATAGACTGACATTAAAGGAATGACGACTACATGACTACTGATTAATAACCCTAATATTTTTCCTCCTACTCTGCGTATGTTTAAAACACACACAGCTCAGTGGCACTATGTTTCTCCCACTTTCTTTCCAGTCAAGGACACTAAAATCATTGCAAAGAACTTAAGTATTAAATTAGTTGCTGGCTGGAGTACAGAAGTATTAAAATGTATATTATCAAAGATACCATCTAAATTTACACCCTGGATCTATGATGGCATGGTAACTGTCTTGACAGCTTTGTTTTGAGTGACTGCACCTATAATATGTGATTCTGTAAAACATAGTTTCAAAACCAGAAGTTTCTCCAGTTTACTTACATCCAGCTATGACTCACTGTCATGTAAAATTCTTAGCTGAACACCTTCCCTAAAATGCCTGGTCTTAATAAAGGTTAGAACCCTTACAAGCAGTGTACTATTCTGTGTTTCCCCAGAATTTCTTTTTGCTTACGAAAGAATAGCAATGTTTCTCTAGGTTCTTTTTCCCAATGTTGTGATCCCAACAGCACAGAGGAAATCTGATTAAATCAGTGGAGCCTTTCCCAGTAAATCTGCTATGGACATGGACAATGGCCCCTTGAGGCCCCTGGAAGAATATAATGCAGATTCCACAAGCTGTCTTGTATTAACAAGACCATTTTTTAGTCAAACAAAATTAAGTCCATTCTAGTTACAACAATTATCTTGAAAACAAGTAAGTTAAAACTAACTCTATTTACCATGGTGAATAATGCCGTTCTCTAGTAAAGCTTGGCCAAGATGAACACCTTCTTCAGACTTGTGTATCTCTCCAATTTCCAACAGCCAGGACACAAATTCACTGAAAAACAGATACAGAAAACAAACTTTTTATCTCATACCACCAGATTTTACTGCATGTACCTCACAAATTACCAGTGTTTCCTACTAGTCTTGTAAATGATCTTTTAGCCCAATGATCCTCAAAAAGTTGTATTACCTTTAAAAAAAACTCACTCTTTGCAGCTTTCCTATTATTTTGACATAAACATATATAGTTTCCATGAGATGTCTTTTCTGCTCAGAAGTTTTCTGTGCATGAAGTTAACCTAGCACATAGTAAAGATTTATCATGTTTTCGGGGTTATCCTCAACTAGCTGCATTTCATCAGACAGACCAATATAGGGCAATTCCAAGCATTCCTACTGCACCTGCCCAGGGCAGGTATGCCATGAGGGCAGAACATAACTAAAATACGACAGAACAGTAGGCTTGTTACTTCCAAGGTGTGTCAAACATATTGACATCCAGAGCATATATACCAAGTATGTATTAATGTGCAGAAAATGCCTGGCTTCTACCAAAGCAAAGCTGATGCAGTTCAGAGACACTGGATCTACAGTGGATCTACAGGACATTAGATGTGCTTGTTACAAATCAAAAGAAAAGTGCAACAAGGTAGTGCAACCTTCACATTCATGGGTTTTAACTGGTGACCCTGGGACCAGCAAAAGCATTCTTCAAAACAGTTCACTCCAAAGATAGCACTGGAAAGAAGCTGCTTGATGGTAGATTTAAGTGGCTCCTCAGCATGAGTGTGTTCTTCACCTGCATCAAACAACTTCCTTGAGGAAACATGATTCTACTATAACTGAAACATTAATCTTAATCCTGGTTTCACTTCTCTTGCAACTGTGCCACTTCTGACAGTGCATTTTCATACTTATCTTATGGCCAAATGAAATAAGTGATAACCCTTCTGTCTCCCAAATGATTTTTTTAATACATGCATTTTTAGGGCATCTATTTCTCTTCCAGTCTTCTCAAGCCATAGGCATAATAAGGCATTATAAAGATCCTCCTGATAATTTAAACCTGTAAACCTTATTTACTAACTCTGTTCCTTACCTATAAGCAAGAGGAGGACAGAAGTTGTTTTAAGAGACAAAGATTACTTAGGTGGAATAAATAAAATTTTACACTCTAAACTACTCATTCCAGAGACAAAGTGCATTAAAAAAGTTGGGAATTATTTCTTGCGAGAAACTAACTCACTTGATGCATTTCCGTATTTTCATCATGGCCTTTGCAGTCTTATCCCTTAATAACTTTGCAAAACAAGAACACATTCATAAATTTCAGGCAGACCATTTTACATTCTGGCTAAATTCTGTGATGCAAATAGTCCTAACAGACATTACAAATTAAGTGTGGTTTCTACAGAATCCCAAAGATGATTTAAAATGTGGGTTTACATGGTAAGACTTCATTCTACCAAAGGCATATAATACCTTCCAAGAAAGCATTTGGGGAAAGTGGTTAATTTCCTCTTCCTGTCTTTGATGAGATTCCCTTGTTTGCACATCATTTTGTACAATCTTTCTCCTTGCTCAGAGATCATCACCCAAGTGTCCTGTTCCATGCCCAATTTTAAACCTGCCAAAAATACATGAACATTTTATGAAGCAACATGGCCGTTATATTTCAGTATCTTCCCTGAAATGGAAAAGCAATACTGGTATTTTACATACAAAAAAAAGTTAAAGAACTGGTTTTCATTATTTTCTCATGATCAAGTTAAACCATGAACATCTGATCTTCATAAAGCATAACCAAAAGATATTTTTCTCACAGAGAAGTTAATTTGTTAGTTTATCTACATCACCATTTATTTTGTAGTAATAACTGACACCAGTACATGAACATTTTCAAGAGAGTAGTCATGTCTCCACAAGTGTAAAATAAGGGGTTTTGGTTTTGCACTTATCATGTGATAATAAAAAGATCTTTATGGAAAGGAATATTTTTTCAAATTTCCAGTTAATAGTAGTAATATGCTAGCTTCAAATAAACAGTTCACCCATTTTCCACAAAAGCATTCAGGCTTGGCAGGGGAGCTGGAACTAGAAGATCTTTACGGCCCCCTTCAAACCAAGTCATTCTATGATATTCCATCTGAGTAAGGGTCTGGTACTTCTTCAGTTCTGAAAATACAGCCTGAAGAAATGTGTCTGTCATGAGAAGCTAACTGGGAACAGAACAAGGATTGCCTCTCATCATCCATAAAACAAATAGAAGTCATGTCACACAAACAAATAAAACTTGGAGTACCCCAGGGAAAAGAAAAGTTAACTAATATACTACTTCTGGAGCTTATAGGATGTTGATGCTGTTATTTGTATTGACATTTCAAGTAATGTCATCACAACATCATCAATCTTAAAGATGACCACCTTTGAAATAAATTTCTAACTTGCTGAATGCCTCAGGGGTTTACAGGAAAGCCACCAAATTGACAGAAAATTTCTGCAGGAAGTTTCCAATACATTTTGATTTCCTCTAGCAATCTACAAAGTGGTCCTAGTTTACAATTTTATTACAAAAGCTGAAAACTCTGCTAAATCACTTAATTCAGAGTATTCGTTTGGCTCCTTTTGGTTCAGCTCCTTTTTGTTCAGCTTCTGCTACATGGATTCCAAGTAAAAGTAGAGGTTGAAACGTCCATTGAACCTTGGAGTCTTCCAACTCATTTGGTTTTTGACAATTCTGCGTTAAAATCTGAATCTATGTGTGTCTCATCTCCTCCTGGTTTCATGGTTTTCTCCTTGGTGGCAAACCCACTGAGAACATCAGGACCTCAAAAGCTTCCACAAATCATAAGATGCTAAAATCCTAAGACGTGCACTGGCTTTAGGATGGCTACCTCAGACCTCCAGCTTGCCAAAGTTTAGCTCCAACTCATTTCTATTACCAGCTGCTCAGGTGATTAGTATGAAATAGTAATAATTCATCAATATAAAATACTACTACTTACTCTTTGTATTTCTTGGCTAAAGCATCAAGAGCCTAAGTGAGACATGAAACTTAACAGAGAAGTAAGATTTATTGAATATGTTTTAGTCAGTTCCATGCAAGGTGCTATAAAAAAGCAGACAAACCTGGGATTTTTGCATTTGACACTATGTCTACCACACTGCTTTTTAATTTTTTAAACATTTTTCATATTTTAAAAGTGTTGACATTTTAGACCTCTAAAGCATCTTTTTAGTTTTTCCGCTACGAATTCCTGATGACACTACTGATAAGCCAGTGCTGAGACACCCTACTTGAAACTCTGATCCTATAACAGATTCTAGAACATCCAGTATTCAACTTTAAAAGACCAAAGAAAATATTGTTAGTGTCCATCTACGACAGAGATGGACAGAGTGTCCATCTACGACAGAGGCACAAACCAACAGTTACTGCAATAGGCAATGGAAAATCTACAAAAATCAGGAAAAGAATCACAGATCTAAATACAAGGTCATACTTTCTTTCAACATCAAGGCTCCAAACAGCATTACCAATTAGGATATTTGGGTTTTCAAATGAAATGAGCTCCAGAAAATGATGATGCATCATCTTTCCCTGCATCTACTTGGTGGGGGTACTTCAAGGGTTCACCTTGAACATGTGAAGTTATTTGTGGTCACATTTGAGATCAGGATTATATTTCATCCAAGTATTCTTCCACCTTAATTCAGTTACTCAGAAGGGAAGCAGTTTTCCAAAGGTGATTGGAAATGGTGATTACTTTCTTGGGTAGGAGGCAATACATCCAAGATGGAATTGTTAATGTGTTGTGCACCATTTCAGTTTGGATCATCAACATTAAGATCCAACACAAAAAGCCTGCTCATTTCAGTGATTCCAATGGCCAGTCACAAAGGAAATCAGTGCATACAAATCCCACAAGGCATTTAGGATAGACCCTCAGATACCACAAACCATGATAATACACAGGTCTCAACGAATTTATGACAATTCATACTGGTTGAGGATAAGCTGTAAAATCACAGATTAAATCATCTCCCCATTTCTCAAATAGCATTTACTACCAGCATATATGATTCAAGACATTATGCCCTTCCCAGTACTAGTTTGATTCATTTTTCCTAGACTGGTATTCATAAATCTTCAGCTGAACCTGACACGACAAGTTTGCCTACCAGCTGGTTTTGCTTTATATCTCAAGATAAAAATACAGTACGGCTTTCTGGCAGAGCAACACAAGGAAGTTTATTGACCTACCTTTTCTTCTCTCTCGCTCTTTCAAAATAGCTTCCAGCCATTCTTGCTTCTCTTCAGGGGTTTTTGCCATGCATACAAACCATTTATTCTTTGCCGTGTTGTGGATCTTCCAGCCATTAATAACAGTGTGGCCACTGCTGTGGTAGTCAGCTGGGAATAGATAAAATTGCTTAAAGAGCACCAACTCTTAAAAAAAGCAATAGCAATAGTTGCCACAATTACTAAAAACTTATCACCATACATAAAAGCCCAGAAAATACAGAAGAATAAAAATAAATTGAAAGCTATCTGTGCCACCGTGAACAATGTTATAACTAAATAAACAGTAGTTTTAATTTTAGTAAACAGTGTCCTTTGTAAAGTGTAACAGAGATTTGCCTAGCATATAGAAGAAGGTATAAAGTTGACTCTAAAACAGGCAGAGTCCTATTAAAAGAAAAGATAATGATACTTTGGAGTACTTTTGTGTTAAACTGAAATAAATAATTCCTTAAACAAGCAGCAATGCTCTTTTCCCCCTTAAATTACTGAGTTGCTATGGTGATTGATTTGATTTACTAGTAAGTGTAAAAAAGGACTAAATATACAGGGGGGAAAATACAATTTCAATGTCACAAGTAATCAAAGCACAGATATTTGGTGAACCTTTACGGGTTACCTGAATAAGCAAATAGCTACACTATTTTAAACAAACTGGAATATAATAAAAATGTTTCTGATCTAAAACTAAATGCAAAATTCCTGAAATATGTTCATAACAGCCTCATGTTTGATGGGCACATTATGAGAGCTAGGGGTTGCTGATGTTCTTAGATAACTAGAACTCCTGACATGTAACATGTAAAAATATCAATGCTATAGAAATCAAATTATTTACTATTTATTACTCTATATTTACCTCAATAGCAATTGATTTTACCATGCTCATCCATACATCTCATTCAAAAATTCCAAAACTAATCCCCTAACTATCCTTCACTAGGATTACATGCATTTCCTGGGGAAAAAATTGTGAGGGATAAATGCCTTATGATAAGAAATGATCTTTTTTTCATAGAACAGAGACTAAAAAAGTAGAGCAAGCAACTACAATACGAAACATTAAGAAAAATCAAAGGTCAGTATTTTCTCACCACAAACTTTCATTAAGTGGCAAAAAAGTCCTAAGGCCAACCCTGAACTAGTTCAATAACTACACAGCTTTTCATTTAGTAAATACTTTTTCAGCCCTATTTTTATGATGAGATGAAATTTTCTGAAACTGAAACCCTTGCTGAAATGCTTGCTAAGATTTATCATAAATCTCAGCAGACGTGCTAGTATCCTTTCAATAACTTTGCATTTTAATTAGATGGAAAGCAGCCAAGCTTTGTGTACTGGGCTGGGAAATGTCAGGAACTACTAGAAAATCATGAGACTGATGGCTAATTTCTAAACCAACAAAACTTTCTAGTACTCAAAGCACGTAAAAAAAGTGCAAGCAAGTCTATGACAAGGGAAAAAATGAAGTTATTTTTCCAACATCATGTTTATGCCACTCAGCTATTTATCATATTTTTATTTGCATAGCCTACGCATAGTATCCTTTGTTTCTTTAAAAACATTGTTTCTTGAAAATTACCCATCATGGTATTCATGCACTCTTAGAAAATCAGACCCAAAAGTCAAGGACAAGAAATAAGTCTCAGACAGAAACACTACTGGAGGAAGTTAAGATTCCTTTGTTTATTTATTAAGTTGGAGGTGAATACATCTAAAAATACAGGGTCATAATTTTCTTCGGGTCTTTGTTACTACAAGTCTATCATCACAAGACACATTGTGTAGGAAAATGATTACTCGTTCACTGAACCATAGCTGTTAAAATTGTGGACAAAAACAAAATCAAAAATGAGGGCTCAGACTCACAATTGGATTCAGATTGCCCTACTTTGGAAAAAAATTTGGTGTAAACTTAGTAGCTTAATTCAGAAAAAAAAAAAAAATGGTGTGTCCAGACACTTGAATCTCTCAACATAGAGATGGCTTTTAAATATGCAGTTTCCTTGGATCTTAGGATTTGTAACTGCAGGGCCAGGAGTACTCTGACTGTTTGAACACACTCACCTCACTCCACCACAAACTCACAGAAGTCTGGGAAAGGCCCAATCACCAAGCTAGGTATTATGACTGCCTAATGTATACAAGAGAGCACTGAGCTCAGGTGGATGAAAACATGGAACTGTTGTCCATGTAGCTGTTGTCCAGCTTTGCTATAGTAACTCACTGCTGTGATGCCCTCTTGGACTTCAGCCACTGTCTCCAGCTGCAACACATCTGCTTTCTCCCTTGCTCTTCACACTCCCCATGAAGGGAAGCAATTCCTACAATTCTCCAAGGCTTCCATGAGCAATTTTTTCTTCCCAGTACACCCAATATCCATAGTCAAGAGCAGTTCAGCATTACACTGTCATCCCATATAAACTCCTACCTTCTCTGACCTGGCTATTGGGCAAAACCTGGTCAAGAGCTGCCGGCCAGCCAGGAGGTGCACATGTCCTGACTGCCCAGATGCTCTGCACATCTGTACACCCTTCACATCAATGCAATCACAGCTGGCAGCCAGGCTAAACAAAGAATTTCCAAACCTGACATATTGGTTACAGAAGGAAGAAGAGCACAAGCCTGCCATTTACCCCATGCAAAGTCTGAATGAGCAGGATCAACAAATCATTAAACGTACAACTTCCCTAGGAAAGGTGATGAAAGATGACATCATCTTCTAATGTGACTTGGTAATACATTAAAGCCTGTAATTTGAACTGCAATATGTTGTTCAAAATTCAAGACTCATATCTTTGAGTGATGAATAAGAAGCAATTTGTTGCAGCCATATACAAAAGAATTTTCTTCTTCCCTTAAAAAAAATAAACAGAAGTCTCTGTACTGAAGTACTTTTACATTTCTTAGAGGTTCTTAGGAGCATCAATGCTCAGAAATGCCAAGGAAATAATTTCTGCACAATATCAACTGCCACCCTCCATGTGTATTTTTTGATGCAGTTTCCAGCTACTTTTGTCATGTCACATTTTTTCTATATCATGCCTCAGTTCAAAACTAGAGAGGACAGAACTACTATACTAGAAGCAAACATAAATCCGCTATTTCCTAAGTCTCAAGTGGTTTTTTTCATAAACTAAGTACCATTCATTTAATGGCTGATGAATGCCTTTAGAAATGTATTTTTCTCTTAAAAGTGAATTTTAGGAACTGGTATAGAAAAAAGAATATGATTACCATAAAACCACATTTCTAATACTTGTGTAGCCACATTATTTTAAGATCATATATAGTTGGCCCTGATAAGTAATATGCATTCTACTTTAATCAGTGCAATCAAGAAAAAACAGAGTCCTTCATGGTGCTGAAACAAAAAAAAAGAAAACTGACACCAACTGTACTACTCAGCCAAGGCCTAATTTCATCAAAGAAAAATTGCTTTTCAGAAAAAGCTTTGTTAATTTCTGTAGGCATGTCATTAGCATGATAATAAGCCACACTGGGGATCTGTTTTGCTATTTCTATGCTTCTGCTCACAAACAACAAAGATTACGTTCCTACATCTATCAATGCTGGGAGCAAACACTCTCAGTTGCCCTGCTCTCTGGAGCTCCATGTTTCCTTATATAAAGTGAGCAGGATCCCAAAATGTGCAGTAAGGAACTGTGGAAGTATCATCTAGACTGAATAGTCTTCAATGTCTTTAAAGAGATCCATCTGGAGTGAGTGCATGACAAGGAGTATTGCACAGATATGATTAAATACAAGCACTCTGCACCCAAAGCTTTCACTGTAAATTAGGAATTATAGAAAGTGATAGGTAATAAAAGATTAAAGAGAATAAAATAATATAATACAAAAAAAAGCACATGCAAAGCTAATGGGAGTGACACTGGGACAACCTTATTACTCCTCTTGGGAATGCAATGAGATGAAAAGAAAACAGCAGAATAGTACTGGGCTACAGCTCAAACATGGATGACCACAGGGATGAGAAACAAGACATCTGGGTGTAACAAATGAGAACAGTAAAGAAAGCAGGACAGACAAAGGTTAAAGAAGGACATTATGATTGAGTGAAAGAAAAAATATCTGTGTGAAGAGAGGGAATACAGAAGTCTCACAAGGAAGGAAAAGAGCAGGTAGAGTAAAATAAAAAAAAGGAGAGGGTGACAAGAAAAAGGCAGAAAGATGTCACAGGCCAGGGAATTAACACAGAAATTTCCACATTCCAAAGAGAACCACAGAAAGGAGGGATGAAATAGCAGCAATTACAAGGAAAAATAAATCTTAGGATATTGGATAAACTGAAATGGGAAAAGCAGAAAATGTGGTGATAAGGAAAAAATGTAGGTAAAAAGAATCATAGCATGGTTTGGTTGGAAGGGCACCAGGAAATAACCTGCAAAAAGCAGGAACATTTTCAGCTAGATCAGGCTGCTCAGAGCTCCACTCAACCTGACTTCAAATGCTTTCAGGGACTGAGCATCCACCAACTCTTATAAGTTAGAAATCAGACTAACTAAACTGTTAATGATGTCACAGACTAACTAAACTAACTAATCAGACTAACTAAACTATTAATGACGTCACAGAAGTGTGGAAAGGAGTATGGATCCTGGAAATAATGTGTATATAAAAGTGACTAGATCTGATAGGGCTCAGAGAGCAAGGGGGAAGGAAGCATGAACCCTCCAGGACTGGGTACAAGGCTATAGGAAATGGGGACAATAGCAAAATTTCTTGGGACTGAAGGAAATTAGACAACTGGTGTCTGCATAGAGGAAGAATATTTGCACTTAGCCATATTATAATTGAAGATTCATTGAGGAAGAAAACAAACAGGCAGGAAGGAAAATGAACAGTGTGAAAAAGAGCAAGGATTGAATAGTTAGAACAAGTAAATTAAGAAAGGTAGGATAGATAGAGGATCAAAGAAACATTTCCTAAAGCAAACACTAAATGCAGAACAGTATGTAGGGAGGAGTCAGTTAAAGATGAATAGTTACAGAATTCTTGGAATATTCATCAGGAAGAAGTTGGTGGGTATAATCCTCTGGACACTGTAATGTTAACACTTAGAAGCAAAGAGATGCTGTCTCAGAAAGTGATATGATGCAAACAGGGAAACTGCCTTGTATTTCTAAAGCACATTTAGGAAGATGAACGAAAATAAATGAAAGGAAGTCAAACAGTACATGACAGGAAAGACTGAAATAATCAACTCTCTTTTTTGCATAAACAAACCACTGAGATTTTATACAAATAAAGCTAAACATTGGGCAGTGATACAGGCTGGAAAAGGGGAATAGCAGAGTGAAGAATATTGAATAAAATATATTTAGCTCAAAGAGGCTTGAAGAAATTCACTGCAGTGTACACATAGATAGCTTGAAATCACCAACTAAATCAGTGGGGCTGGTGAAGGACATAACCCAAAACAGATGTCAAGGAGTTCTTACAAAAACTGTCTGGTAAGCAAAGACAATGAATCAAGTGTGACACCACAGTGCTCTACCGTATGTTCAGCATTTTTCACCATTTTCATCAATAGCTTAAATGGTTCAGTGGCAACATTGCTCATGGAACCAAGTCAAGAAGCATTGCATGAGCTTTGGGGAACAAGATGTGAATTCTGAATATATAACAAATTGTACAAATGCTAAGATAAAACTCATCACAGAAAAGAAAGTAATTATCAGTCCTACTTTCAGACATTAATAAAGTATAAAATATAACGGGTTAGGCACCAGTACTGCACAAAACACTCTGCTCTGGTCTTCTTGAACACAAATGAAAAGACTGAAAAATAATGCTCTCAGAAAAGCCAAACAATCCTGGGATTAGTAGCAGACATCCCACGTTGCAGCACTACAATAATTATTCTGGCACTGGTAAAATTTCAGCTCTAGATACTTTAGTCATGAATTCTGAGCATTTATTAATGTAAATTTTTTATAAAATTGAATGTGAATGACAAAAGACAGAAGCAAGCTGATCAAAAAACAAAATCCAAAGGAAAAAAAAATTATAAAATAAGAAATAATAAAATAAAAACACAACATATGAAAAAAGGTTGAAAGACTTTAAAATACAAGATGGAGGAAAGAGACAACAGCCTTCCAATAAACTATTTTGTTGCAATAAGAACAATAGTCAATTTTTTCTCCCAGTCAGTTCTACTGTCTACTCTGTAAAACAAGAAGTGAGCAAACTATTCTGAACACAAGAAACTCGAGAACGGAAAAAAAAAAAATTATTTTAAAGAAATATTCAATTCCTATGAAGCTTACTTAGAAATAAATTCATTGTTATTAATGCTCAATTTTAGAACAAAATTACATTGAGAAATGCTTGGAATCCATAGCAGAGGACAAATCTAACACTATTTAAAAATATCAGGAAAAGCAATATATAATTCACAGAAATTCCCTCCAGACTTACATATTTGCAATGCCACTGCAAGTTTCACATACCACTTTTTTTTCTAGCTTTACATTAAAAAAGCCCAAAATATTTTTTAATTGCAAAAGAAAAAGTAATTATTTTTAAGCTCAAAGGTTAAACTCAAGTTTCTAAAACAAAAATTGACATGTCTAAGAATACCTTGGGTTTTCACTTTACTGTTGTATGTCAAAAAAATTTCAAGTAATCTTATGGCTTATATCCCTAAAGACATTTTTAAAAAACCTTCCTTATGTTACAATTTAAGCATTTACATTGTTTCATCCCAATAGAGGTTGGTTCTCCACTTGCTGTCATAAATATACCATGCACCTAAGGATAAGTCCTTTTAAGAGTGCTGGAATGCCATAAAGTGAGGTTAAACATGTAATTTCAGTTGAGCAATAAATGTCACCTTATTTTATTACTCTGTTCATGTAAGCCTAATATAGTCGTCTATGGCTGCCCAGCTAGCAATGGATGAAAGCAAGGATGTGTCACAGAAGCAGAATTTTGATATTAATAGATAGTGCTCTTAAAGCAGCATCTTCCTCTTTCTTCCTAAATACAAGGAGCATTCTCCAGTCTCAAAGAAATCATGGAGCTGCATTTGATTTCAGCACCTCAAAAGATGGCTCTTTAAATGAGCCACACAAATATACTCACCTGTTCCATCATCTACATTCTCCACTTCCATCACTTCCGTGTTTATTCTGCCCCGGAAAAGGTAGCGGTGGCCGTCTGTAGATGCTTTGCTGTTCTTCAATCTCCTGAAAAAAGAGCAGATGAGCAGGTCATCCACTCCCTTCTTCCATGTTTCTACACTGCTACCTGTACATGCAGCATTTGGAGACCACTGTAAGGATCACAACACCTTAGTACCTGTGCAACTGGACTGTGGAAACCGCTGCTGAATGGGGCGCTGCTGAAGGAAATGCAAAGATGTTATGGCTGGTAAGAGTCAGCTGCAAATTCCTGCCTGAATGAGAGCTCATCAGGGAAGTCCCACTCTGTAAAGGCTCTGCTCCAACACTTTAGTATCTATATGCTGTTGTCTACATGTCTATATCTATATGCCATCCAAGACAAAAAAAAAGGAGAGCCTTTCCTCCTAACTGATGTGGTCTTCCTGTTAGTCTAGAAATTCAGCATGGGGATAGTGTGACTGAAAAAAATTAAATGAGCAGATTTAATTGAGAGAATCCAAAAGATTTCTATCTGAAATGAGAGTCCAAAGATTTCTATCTTTGGATAGAAATCTTGACCTACGTATGTTAGCATCATAAGTGGGATTTATGTAGGAAAGAATTAAGACAACATCTTTCCTTCCTAACATAAGGGTTAACCAAGATTGCAATTAAGGATTGCTGAAGTTTGTGGCAGTTTTACTGCAATATGTTCCAAAGCACCTTGCATTGCTGTAACTGTTCCCAGTGAAGCCAATGCCTTTGGAGAACCCCAGTTCTAGACAGCTTTTCACACCTCAGATAAGCCAGGGATTATTGTCTATCCATATTTGCCTATGATGATAATTAATACTGTATCTCAAACAAAGGTCAGTTCCTAAGAAATAAGGATCTCCTGAATTTTGACCTTCATCCACTCCAAAGAGGTACTAATTTTCAGAAAATTACCTGCCTCTCAATAACTACTTTACTACTCTCTTACGAATAATTCCACTACCCCATAAATTTATCATTCAAAAATTGAGTAACACATTAAAAAATACAAAGAAAGCAAAAAGCAAACCCAGCATAAAGCATAAAGTTTCAGTACTACCTGTTTCCCCTTTCCAGAATGAGTAAATCAAATAGCTAAACTGAGTTTTAAAACTGTAAACCTAAATATGGCATGCCATGTTCATACAACTCTGCCACAAAAGGATGGTTAAAAATTACAATAAAATATCTCATACCATAAATGCAAGGCAATTTTTGTAAAATTACCAAAATACAATTTCTCTCTTTACATACTTGCCAATCAATATTTAAAGTATCTTGCTGGAAATAATAAATTAAATCATCTTAATTAATCATCTTAAACTTTGAAATTATATTCTAAATTGAGTTACTCCTGTATCTGCAGAGATGCCAGCATGGTATCAGCCAAGGACATGATTGTTTGAAACTAAAGAAACCACAGACCAAAACCTTTCATGCATTTTGAGATTTTCATCCGATAGTGCATTTTATTGAGAATATGGCTACAAAAATATGCAACTTAGTGGAGGACAGCTGAAAAGATACTATGCAACCAGCAACTTATTTGGAATTGCTGGACAATAAACTACGAAAAATATCAGAAATTTTTAAAAGAAGATGTACCAATATCTACCCAGATATCTACCCTATCTATCTAAATATGTCTTTAGTGGCCACTCTAAAACAACTTCTGGATTAAAGAGACAAATTTGAGCATCAAGAGGGATATATTTACATAGGAGAACCCTTATTCCTCACAACATTATCTACAGAAGCTTGTTGCTGAACTAAGGGAATTGCTCTTTGGAATGCAGCAAGCAGCAGCTTTCTAGATGTTTTCCCTGATTACAAATATAAGGCATGAAACTCTTGAATCTGTAGACTAATTTTATTGCACAAGCTACAACACTCATCTGTTTGAACTAAATATTCAGATTGTTTACACTTCCTAGAAGAGAGTGAGGCCACCACATATAACCCGCCGTGAAAGGCTGACAAGACAGATTCTTTTTCCCCACACTTCACCACTAGGATTCTGCACCCATATCATTTTTTTCCAATTGCTTGAATTAAATAATTCTCTTTCGTTGATAAGTTTCTTCTAAAAATGCCAACTTTGATGCTGTTGTTCTTATGAAATAGCATACTCATTATTAGCTCTACTGTGAGAAAAACACATTCTTTTTGAAAGTAATAATTTACCTGTGCTTTTTTTTGCAGTAGACCAGAAGATTATCAAAAAGAAAAAATATCCTCTCTTGGATATTTCCTGCTGAAATTTTCAGTAGTAGTCCACTTCGCAGCATTTCTGTACACGTGTCTGTGATGTTGGACCCCTAAAATTGAGTGGAAAGAGATTACTCTTTTAGTAAGAACTTAAGTACTTTGCATCAACTAAGGAAAAGTTTCTTTTACAAACTCACAAGCATAACAACTCTCTAGAAAGAAGTCATGATAATTTATTGCATTGTAATTATGTAATAATCTGTCACGATGTTTAGCACTAGCTTTGTGAATAGATACAGTTTAATCACAAAAAGTTTCCAAATTATATTACTTTTGTGCAAAGACCTCACCAGAAAATCAGGCCAACTTTATATCCAATACCTCCTGTCCTCAGTAACTTTATTCAGAAATGTCTGAAAATGGGGCATTACAAGACATAATCTATGCCATGATGTAACTGGAAGCTGAAGCAACCTGGGACCTGAACATCACTAAAGGTAGATAATTCTACACTAGATTAGGCTAAGCACAGAAACAAAAATTAAAAACCACCAAGATCTAAAACTTGGGCAAATCTAAGAGTGGCATGTACAGCTAGGACTGTCTAGTACACTTCCTCCTAACCTACTCCAAAGACATCAGAATTCTGGTAAGGTTTAGATGTTTTGGATTAAACTTCCCATGCCTCATTTTTGCTTCAAGACAGATTAATCATGTGAAAAGGCCATCAGGCATTTTCATAAAATTTAATGAAAGAGAAGCAACTTTAACAAAGGAAAATATTAAAAAGAAAATATATGAAAAATTCATGGCACTTCTACGTCTTGTAAAGAGAAATTTACCTCTCAAGGAAGCCCTACCTTGAATTCAGAGGTGCATTTTGCTAGTCTGAAAAATCACACTCCTGTGGGACAGAGCTGCTGTCCACGTGCAAGTCCACTCAGACATGCAAGTCTATTGATAATTTTATTATCTATTTTGCTGGCTGCATCAAGCACACACCCCGGGTTTGAAGAGTTTCCTGACTTGAGGGAGTCAAAGCCAGCTTGGAAAACCTGCAATAAGCCAGGACTCTCCTGTCATCTACACATGTTCTGAATGGTTTAGGCATGTGAGAGCTGCAGTTACTTCCTCTTCTTGATCTAACCACAGTAGTCCAAAGAAAAATGGATTCAATTAAGAGCCAAGAAGCGATCACACATTCTGCTCTCACAGTTCTTCATCCTGCTGTCCATCCTTTGTATGTCACAGCTGTGACTGTTGAGCAATAGCTCAGACTGTCCTAAGGAGAATGCAGTCTGTTTACAGAGATAAGTGAGATTGCACAACCATCACAATGGAACACAATCCAGGTCTCTAAGCAAAGCCACTTCAGGATCTGTATTAACTAACCACTACTGCTTCCATTCAGGATCAAACAAGCCAACAATGAATGTCACCTATAGCCACTACAGCATATTTCCCTTCCTAAGACAGCATCAGTACCAGCATGCTAATTTTACAGTTTTATTCAAAATCAAACACTGAAACATTTTAAAAGCACACTTAGTGATATAAATTAGGCATAAATTAGGGCTGTGTGTAATGCTTGTTGACTATAATTACAGAAAAACAGGTCACTTTTTTCCATTCCATTTCATTGCTTTTGTGTATTAAAGGGTAAACAATATCTTATTCTCTGTTTCAAATTTGCTGGAATGGTACTTACTAACAATTTGCATTTTAAAAGGTTGGATACTTTCTAAAGAGTCTTGGTTTGTTTTTATACAAAACTTGAACTTGGCAGAAAAATAGTAGTTTTTTGTAAGGAAGCCAAAAAATATCAGCTTAAGGCTTCAGAATCGCACAAGAAGTTTCAGCTTTCTACAAAAGGATGGAATTCTTTTCATAGAAAGGATTTTATAAAAAAATGTCTTTTCTTATTGAAGAATTTCATTTTCAGTATAGAAAAACACAACCTTTTCCCAACAGTCCTAACAAGATCTACTACTGTGCCAGCATCTTGTCACAAAACAACACATTTAATACATATTTTACGTATATATAATTCAGGCTACCTGACTTATTTAAAATCACCTCATTCATGATTCAAGTTTAACGTGACAGTATGGTAGTGATGGTTGTCTGTCCTACATTACTACCCTTTGTTATCCTCCTGATTTTGTTCCCTTTGTAAAATATACTGCTAGGTGATGAAAACAAGGTTCTAGAGATACTTTTTTCCCTCTGAGACATTTCATCCAAAGACTGAACAGTGTTAAAGTCACTTCTCAGATACCTTCTGACAAGAACACAACCCATGCTGGTGTGGTCGCAAGTCAGTGAATTTTGTTAGGCTGTTTTATTTGCTGAAGTCCAAGGGAATAATAAAACAGGATCAGAAGTCACATCTTGTTGTCCTACACAACAGTGCAAGTGCAAAAAAATCCCCTGTCACTCCCCTGCCTATGTAATACTTAGGACTTGCCTGTTTCTAGACTTTAGGTGGGCATGGAGCTGAAATGGAGAAAAATGGAAGGGCATATTGTACGAAAGCACTGCTGTTTCTACATCTGGGCTGAGCACGGCTCTCCACCACATCCCTTAGAGATGAAAAACATGCCTGAGGAAGGATGAAGCAGAGAGCACATACAAGCACTGCCATACCTACCACGCAATTCAAAGGGCTGACAACCATAACAAGTTTTCCTGAAGGATGGAGCTAAACCTTAATCCTCCCATGGGTTCTCACCAGGAGCACCGAGCTACAGCTGATACCCAGCCCAGTAGGACAATTCAGTTATCCAGCTCCAAGCTGTCCCCCTCATGGGGGAAGGGTCAAGGCTGCATTAACATATGAGGGGTCACCCTCATCCCAGAAGCAGGTGAGACTTTCTGCTGCACAGCTAAAACTGAACTACACTATCTACAATATTTTTGGAACATGTATTAACAAAACCTTCTGATACAAACGTGTTTTCATTAAGCGTTCACAATGAAACTACCACAGGAATTTCCAATATGAGCAACCTGAACTTGAAAAGCAACTTGCTATTTCAAAGTTTTCACGGACATTTAAACTCAATGCTTGTAAAAGGAGATGACAGAGTTGCTCAACCTAAATGTAAAATCACTACTACTATGCTATTCATGCTTCTGTATATTTAAAGTAGCTGCAAGTAGAAATCGTGGGCTATTTTCAGTGAAAAAAGTGTTTTTGGAATCAGTCAATTCCAAAATGCCATGTATTGTAGAAATAAACCTGTTTTAATCATCTTGGAACAAATCACATAAATAATTCAGCTGGGGGAAAAAACAACCTGCAGCCTTATACTGTGAATCTAGACTACTTTTGCCTCCGTCTGTCCTACTGGGTCACTAAACACTGTACAGCAATCCTCTTCTGTGGATAGCACCCCAACCAAACACTCTGTGCCCTTTGAGGATAGCTGGTATGGAAATTAAAAGCCCATCAAATCTTGGAGCCTGCTGGCTATTTAGGTGTAACTGGTTTCTGAGAACCTTTGGCTGTCAGTCAGACACCTATGATTCCAACTAAGGAAACAGCTCAGGTGAGAGATCTGAAATGTGGGCTACCATGACCATATTAAAAAAAAAAAAAAAACCTGCACTGGAAGGAGAGACTATATCTTAATGTGGGCTACCATGACCATATAAAAAAAAAAAAAAAAAAAACTGCACTGGAAGGAGAGACTATATCTCGGTAAGATATTACTTGATGGTATAGAATCACATCAACAAGTAATATTTGGAATGGAAAGGAACAGAATACCCCATGCCACTGTCACTACGCTGGCCTACGACTCATATTGGGTTGTTCAGCTTCCAGCTTACAACAAATGCAACAATTTTATTTTTTCTTCTCTCACTGAAACATCCACACAAATTTTACTGACAGACTCCTTGAGCTGCTGAGCCATTCTCCATCTGAGACAGCCACCTACACAAGTTCTGAATTCAGGCCAATAAATTAAACCACTTAGGAAATTAAGTGAGAAAGTCATTATATTCAAAATATCTTTCTTGAAACAGATGTTCCATTTTTTCCATGAATCTGTATTTTTATCATAATAAACACAAGCTTCATTTTATGACACTTAAGTATAGGAATTCAAGTCATGCTTTGATCAGATTCTAAAAATAGTCTTTATTTTTTTCCCTTTCCTTCTAGTTGGGGCCAAGCAATGCGCTAAGCATTTCCTTCTGGAAGGAAATCTCCAACAAGTTTGCTTCTTTATTTTCAGCATTGCAGAAAACCAGATGTTTATTTAATTAAATCCACTCTCAAATACTGCATTCAGGAACTTTTTTTTTTTGCAGTTGTTGTTGGGAATCCTTAAAAATACTGTTAGCTCATATAGATGCTCTGGAATTCTTACCATTTCAAGGACTAACCTTATACTATGTCTAAAAAAGATGCACATCTTAGGATCAAGGCAATTTTGCCAGATTATTCACCCTGTGGTTGCCATATGATATCAAACCCAATTAGCTAAAATAAAATAAACAGCATATAACTCTACTGGAAACATCCTATTTTAAGGCAACGACGCTCTTTCAGAGTTCAAGCACAGGTGAAACCCTAAAATGAAATCTAGGAAGAGGGGAGGTGGAAAAAATAAAACAAAAAAACAAAAAAAAACAACCCACCAAGGTTGGTAGGACATTACTTTGTTACAGAGTAGAGAATACATTCTGAGCACAGGGAGAATAAGTCTGTTTCAAATGCTTATGTCCATATTGTTACCATTCTCTCTTTATTGTTACCTTTGCTTATTAGCACATTTCCAAAAGCAACCATATTTCCTACCAGATGTTTTACCTAGAATTCAGAAGAAACTTAATGCAGGAAAGTGGATTCCCTGTTCAGGGATAGAAGTTTGAGAACAGTGACTTCTTAACCAACTTATATGACTAATAATGCATTGATTTAATAATGCTGTAGCTTTATACTTGAGTGTGTTCATTAAGAAGGATTTGACAAATATCTATGACTCAGACATTGGAAGCAAGTAGAAGAATTTTAATCACTGTAGTGCAGTAAAAAAATTAATTGAAAAGTTAAAAATAATAGAAGGAATAAAGTCGTGATAGATGATAAAGATTATTTAGCAAATTTTTTTGCCATAGAGTATTTAGCACTTAACTTGCTATTGCTCCTATCATGAGGTTATCACATAAACATTTAAATGTTCAGATACACTAACCTTCACAAGTTACTGCTGATGACAGCAACTTCAAGCTAATAACAAGAAGAAACACATTGTCACCTAGTCAAAAGGAGCTGTTAAGTGACGGCAACTAGACCTCCTCTCAATTCAAACATTTAGAATTTTACTTTATATTAGTCCTCTCTTTTTCAAAATCCTACAAACAACACAATGGCATTTGTTTTGAATTATTTTCTTTTATGTCAGATAGAGGGTTACAAGTAAGTGCAGAAAGTTTTGTCTGAATATGGACCAGCAATTATATCACTTTTCTACTTGCTACAATTCCTTCTTATAATGCACAGCGAATTTTAGTGACCATCCTGTACCAAAACATTTCAGTGCACTGAACTCCAGCATGAGATGATTTGCCAGAAATGGAAAAGCAGCTCTTGAAAATGCCTCTCTACACAAGGAAAAAAATGCCTGAAGTGAAACATTTCAAGTCACACAATGCATTGAAGAAACATGAAGAATTTTGATTAAAGTACAATTAGTCACTTAATCCACATTTAGAATTAACCAAATCTTCCTACACTACTCAATTAACAACAAACCAAAGGTTTTGGAAAAGTCCACTGATCAGGAGATTTCACATGGGGCATACAGGAAATAATTATGTGGTGCCATGAGTAGTATTTGGGTGGGGGGGAGTCTTTGTTCAGATCTCTGCTCCTTTCAGACAGTGGCTGGTTCTGCTGAATCCTTCTGGATGACAGGGGAAAGCTAAATCCACTACTGCAGAACCAGAGCACATCCTTAGGCACAGCAAAGTTGAAGAAACAGCAGGTACAATAAAATCAGAAGGTGTAGGGAGGGAACAGAGACGTGTAGAAACTACTTCTTATTTCTGCTTTTTTACCTACTACTACAAATATCTACTTAAAAATTGTCTATTCTACTCAATGTTCTAATTGTTATTTGTCAGACTTCGTGGGGAACTCTCTCAGTTAAAGCTCAGACAGGTCTGACTTGAGGTTTTCTTTGCTACAGTATCCCATCTGTATCCCTAACCCTTCCTTTCCTAGGCACCATACAAAGGAAATTTCCACTATATAGACCAAAGTCCTTCAGTACCAGAACAACATACAACAAACACATTTTTCTTGCTATGTCTCCCAGTCTGCAAGCCATCCATAAAGCTTCAAGAGATAAAACCTCTTCCTCCAGTTCTTAAGCAGCTTTCTCAGGAAGAGAAGTAGCATATTTGAGCAAAGTATTCAAAAAAGCAAAGGACTACTTCCATGTTGAAATCTGCCTCGTAAAAAGCCTGTGTCTTTTTGCTTTTTTAAGTCAGTTTTGAGTATGGTTCCACTGTTGGCTTTATATTTCTTTCATTGAAACTTCATTTGTGTTGCCTTCCACTCCAGTGCAGTCAGCTCAGACATGTCAATACAAAACACCCAAGGGAATTTAAAGATACTCTCTTATCTGCACCTGTCTTTCCGTATGAACTAATTATGGTGCTCAGAATAGTTCAAAAGGAAGATTTTGGTGCTACAACTACTTGATCTTGTTGTTTTCTTAGGGAAAGGGTGGCTCTTCTGGTTACTACTTAAAATTGTAACTCAGAACCAGATCTGTGGTTACTTCATGAAACTCAGTTGGAGCACTGAAGTTCTTCCATTTGCAAACCATTAAAAAGTTCCACAAATTTCACACAGATTCTATTGAATATGTTTAAATTAATTTAGCTCACCCAATATTAAGAGACTACCAACAAGCTGACAAAAACTCATAGGCTCAATGCTTAACCAATAATAAATGATAAACAAAATATTTTTCAACCAGACAAAGTGCTGCTAGGCCAGCAGAGACAGCAGTAAAATAAAATCAGCAGTTACATTAGGATTTATAAATGTGTCTGTGTGCACAGATACATGTTAATACCAATGCTAAATAACTATCCTTCCTTGAAGTCTGCTATTTCATATAGCACTGCTCAGTCATAGACAACTTAATTTACAGAGTAGATCTCAAAAGCTGTGACTTCACAGAACTGTGGACTTGACAGAACCTCAGGATCATAAAAACAGCGCAACGCATACTTAGTGGAAAACTATTACTCCCTCCTCAACATACAAAGCAACAAATTTTATGACAGTAATGACAGTACCTCCCATCCTTCAACATGAGACTGCCATTCCTCCAAAAATTCTAATTTTTCCATTTGTCTCTTGGCCTCATTTATGTTGGAACAGACAGCTTTCATGGCCTGGAGAGCTTCCATTAGGGCTGCATAGTCACTGTGCTTCCTTGGAGTCCGCTTCAGTAACTCCTATTTAAACACAGAAAAAGGTGGGGGGGAAAGGAAAAAAATAAAATAAAAGAAAGAAAGAAAGCAGTCTTTGATCTCTAAAGGTCCATTACAGGACCAAACCAGCATACAAAAAGAAAGTAGCCAGTCTTCTCTTTTACTAAGCAGAAAAGTAGCAACCCTTCTGAAATGGTACTAGTAGGACACTACTCAAGAGCAACTAATCATTAACAATAAATATCATCATGATTTAGGAAGAAGTTTTCATTTCAGCTACTTTATTCTCCTATTCTCCAACAATGTTTCTTCATGCTGAGCTTTGGGGTTTGGGTTTGTTTTTTTATATTCTGCAGGATACAACTGATCAAGAGCAAGGATAACAATTCTGCTTAAAAAAACAGTAGTTTGCTCATGTCAAAATTAACACCTGCCTTTCCTGCAACTCAGGGCAGAAAACACATTCCTTAAGCTCCACACTATTGTTTAACCTCATGCAGTACAGCAAAGCAGTGAACAATAGCTTAGGGGACTTACTTATTTCAGACCTACTGGCAGCCATGCTGGTAAACAAAAGTGCAGTCACCAGCATTTGTTTGAGATTTCCCATCTCAAACTCCCAACTCCCCATTTACAGCTGGGCTGACTGAGAACAGCCTTCAGCAAAGCCCTAACCCTGCTGCCACCACACCCTGTATTTAAATTTTCTTAATATATTCATTTCCTTGCTCTAGAGTAATTCATTAGTCATTTTTCCCTGTTTTATCTGTATGCCTTTCAAAAATAGAATAGAAAAATAATTTCAAAATAGACCAAGGGAACTGTAAAGCCACAGCTATCTCGGATGACTCACACCTCATTGTAATGATTATATTTTTAATCTGTTTTAAAATCTTTTTTATTCTAACCTGTTTCTTACTAGATTTTTTATTTCATATGCCTCACAACTGGCAACTTTGCAGATCAACACTCACACATGCATTGTGAAAAATACTGTCCAACAGTAATTTTTCAGGTAGCTTTTAGAGTAGAATCTGCTCTGGTTTTCATCTCAGAGTTTGGGACAATAAGCAATACAAGATCTTAATTTGTTAAGCAATGATTTGCTTGAAATACTTTCTTGTATTTTATTTCCTAACAGGGAAAATTACAAATCCAGATGTTTGAATATCTAATGTTTATAACCACATTAACATTTTTCATTTATTTAAGCTGTCACAATATGATAACAATAAACATATAATTGTACATGAAACCATTTACAGCACCTTACTGTTACTCCACAGTTTTTCTTGTGAAAAAAATCCATTCATTTTTTTCATTTTCAGTTTTTTGATGGTAAATTAGTATCTTCAAAGTACACCACCAATAAACTCTGTTATCCCAAGCATTTTAAGCAAGGGCACAATTGAATCCAGCTGAAATTAGTCTCATTAAACTCTCCCAAGTGGCTCACTTCTGCCCAACAATGGAGAGGCAACCTTACAAATACAAGCAGAACAGAGCTAATCATCTCAATCCAGCCAAGCTCCTCAGTTCTTTTAATACTGATGTCAGAAGACTGGCCACCAGCTTTAATGGGAGCAAGGCTGGATCCAATCTCTTAATAAAAAGATAATTCACTGCGTAGAAAGATCGTTCCTGGGGTTCAGAAACATGCTTAGCAACCAGTTTTATAAAGGAAGTATAAAGTCCTCAATAAAAATATTGTCAGTACCTTCAAAAGAAGGGGATACTTGCATATTCTCTGTATTGGTGTCACTAGATATCCCTCCAGGGGTACATCTGTGTTCTTCCGTCCTCCAAGGAGCATGCAGTTCTGGAGTGGGAACACGTTCACAAATTATTGAAAAATCCCAAGAAAATTTCAGAAATAAAGACAAGGGCATAGGTATATAGCAGTGTTTGGCTAAAGTATGCACAAACTGTGTAAATGAAGGTGTGTATATATATATATATATATATATAAAAGGAGGGAGGTTTGCAATAGTGTCAAAACTAAAGGCTTGAACACATGCACAGGCTATCACACGTGACAAGGAAGTCAAAAAGGCAGAATGCAGGCCTCTTGCCTTAGTACCTTCTTCATCCAGTCTGATGAAGAGGACTTTTTCTTACAGTTTGAAATTAAAAAACAGTAAATAAAATGCTCAAAATATGCTTTCAGACTTCAACAAACAAAAATAAAAACATTTCAGGGTGACCACTACAGCCGTTGCCGTTTCTAAAAAGTGTCTGCAGTATTAAGTAGCATCAAAGATGGTTTGAATGTTTGAATGTGGCCATCCTAATACACACCTCAAAAAAAAAACATGTTCTATTTTCATGATTCTATATTTAAATTTGATGTGCAATTAATAAAATATCCTAAAGTTGTGTGCAAAAGGCTATTAAAAAGTTTCAACAAGACATCTGATTATGGAAGCAGAGAGTAACCTAAAGATTGGGTGAAAGCATCCAGCAAAAGCAGCTGAGAGAGAGAAAAGAATAAGGGCTTTTGGGGATAAGAAAACACACAAAGTACATCACAGCAAATATTTGGAATTGCTGGACTTAAAGTCTAAGTACATAAAGACCTAAAGTAATGATGACAATTATTTTATGGAGAGATCAGAAGCAATTGTGATGCAAGGGCATGAGATAATCTCAGGTTCAAAGAACAAGTTGTCTAAACTGAGGACACTAAAAAAATGCAGTTTAAGCCAGATGAGATGTCGACACAGGCCACAGATCTGGATGCAGACACACTGTTGATGGAACAGAGGCTGCACAACTGGGTGACCACCCAACACACCTATCCTACAACCAGTGCTGCTAGAGGATCTCCACACCTACTCTGAAGTCTCTGCTTTGTAGTCATGCTTAACCAGCTTCTGTCTTACCCTAAAGGATGCTTTAGCCTAAAGGATTTCACTTCCAAACATAAAAGCTTTACTGATAAAGACCAAGTAAGATAATGTCAATGCAGACTGTAGTTATTACAACAACTGCCTCTATACTCAAAGCCTCAAAAGTTCTGGTTTTGCTCCCAGTGATTTATAGATAATCACAACTCTAATGACCTGACCCCTTTGGTGTGCCCAGATGGCTTTGACTGTGCCTTCAAATCATGCCCTAAATCTATGAGGAACCCAAACCAGATGAGAAAGTCCTCTGCATATGCCCCGGAGCACCTAAAACTGACATCATGAACTGCCACAATGGCACACTTGGCTTCCTTTGTCACAAAACAAGCTCTTTGCCATCTTTCTCCAGAGTATTTTGCTTTTTGCCTCTGTAGTCAGCATTCACCCCTTCTTCTTGAGTCTGGCCATGCTGCTCCCAACACAAGAACCACGTGTGTGATGCTCCCCAGTCTGGGACAAAGTGAAATATACTGTGCCAACCACCGAGGAAAAATAGGACAACTTTGAAACAGTTTTTAACTGTGAATAACCATTTCTGTGTAAGAGGTTCTTAGCAAAAAGGCACATGGTGCCTCATGTCACATAGCATCTCCCACAATAAGGAAATTCCCACACTGCTCATTAACTTGGCTGTAAGGAAGTGCAGCTGGGGGAGTCAGATCTGGTATCTTTCAAAGCATCAGTGTGATGCCACAGGATTTCACCAAGAACTTTGTCAACAGCAGTAGTGGAACCCTACTGCATGCTAAAAATAATTAATAAAATTAACTGAAGACTTGTGATACTCTCAACATTGGCAGAATCTTTTTTTCTCAAACACATCTGTGATGCTTTGCTGGTCATTTGTTCTCCAGTCCCAAAACACAATGATCAAATCTGATCACTCCAAAATTTGATAGCATATCCAGGGACACTTGCTCAGGTATTTCAGTTCCAATATAGTAGACTACTCATTTCAAAGCTGACCTTTTTACCACAGGACACCATGGAGCAAACACAAAAATCATTCCAAACTGAATCCTGCTTTTAACAACTAAAATCCCCTATTAGAAAACTCAGTATTTACATGGAAATTGGTTTTGCTGTTGAAAAACTACAAGGACTATCACACTTAACATTTTCAAACCCCTCCTTACTTGTCTTATAAAGTGAAAGACTCTTTGTGGAGCTGTTTCTTTCACCTTGGATTAAGTCAGCATCTAAGATTAGAATGGCTACTCTATGATCCATTACAAAAGATTTTTCTGTCTGCAACAGCACTGGCTACAGTACCAGAATATGGACCTCCCTTCAGAAGTCGCACTGAGTTCTCCAGCTCCTTTCTATAATTCCTTTCCCTATCCCTCCTCATCTATTTCATCCTATTCTTTTTCCTTTACAGAGATTCACACTCTTGTCTCCTGGCCAGTACGTTCAAGGCACACTGCCTAGTTCTGTATTATCCACAGATCCAAGCACAGCAGTGAAAATATGATTTAACCACCCTCTTCCTCTGGAAACACCACCCCCACCTAAAATTGTCTGCTAACCACTTGCAGGTGTGCTTGCACTTGTTACATGGTGGAGGTGGAAAAAAATCTAAAAAAAAATGAAGTTAGAGCACCAGTTCAAAGTTTATTTACCAAAAGAAACGTCCGCACTGTTCTTATTTTGTTCAGGTCAAGAAGAACTTTCTGTGCCTTCTCGTGGTTACTACAGTACTCATCATAGATACGGAATTTCTCTTTCTGCAGAAACAAGAAGAGACATTGTTTTTTCACTTGTCATTTTGATTTTTTTTAATTAATAAAACATGGAATGAACCATTTGCAAAGCTGCATAGCTAATATGGCCTTCATTCTAGAAAGTCAGCTCTTCTTCATACATTTATTATTTGAGGTCCAGCCTCAAATTATGAACAGTCTGGAAGCACCAGTTGGGAATTTCAAACACAGATTCATAGAAAACAAGGTTGAAAGGGATGTCAAGGATCATCTGGTCCAACCTTTCTTGGCAAGAGCATGGTCTAGACAAGATGGCCCAGAATCCTGTCCAGTGGAATCTTAAATGTGTCCAGTGTTGATGAATCCACCACTTCCCTGGGGAGATTATTCCAATGGCTGATTGTTCTCACTGTGAAAAATTTTTCTCTGGTGTCCAACTGGAATTTCACTGGGAGAAACTTGTACTCATTACCCCTCCTATTATCCACGTGATTCTGTGAAATGGGAGTCACCATCTTTGTAGCCACCTTTTAAATTCTGGAACATAGTAATAAAGTCTCATTTAAGCCTTCTTTTCTCAAGTCAGTTCTCTCAGTCAGCCACATGGAACACTTCCCATGATCATCCTTGTGGCTCCTCTCTTAAACCTGTCCAGACTGTCCACATCTCTTTCGTACAGTGGGGACCACAACCAACCACAGAATTCCAGCTGTGGCCTAACAAGCACTGAGCAGCCAATGATAATGATTTCTTTATCTCTGCTGGTAGCTGTTGCAACCCAGCATGCTCTTGGCTTTATTTTTTTTGTCACAGCAGCACGCTGTTCAGTCATATTGAGATACATTGCAATGGTGGTTCACCAGGACACTGAGGTTCCTTTCCACAGAGCCGAGCCCCAGCTAGGTAGATCCCAGCCTGTGCTGCACTCCTTGATTATGTTCCCCCAGATAAAAGACCTTACATTTGTCTTTGATGAACTTCTTAGGGTTTCGCTGAAATATTTCAAGCTAGAATTACCACAAACACAAAGGATAAAAACATACATGAAGAAAATGCAAAATGAGTGGCTAATTTGTTGACATTATCACCCAATTTGTCTGCTAACATTTGTTTTCAAATATGATCCATTTTTCTGCAAAGTTAAAAACTGATGTTACTCAACTTCTGTGAATTGTTTCCACTAACCATTAATAGATTTCTCCTGCCACAATGAATAATTAAAGACTTAAACAAATGGGACTCTAAGCAGAGATAACAATGAAACCTGGACTTTTTGTTAGGTCTACAACTGAAAGCAAACCAATTTGTCTTCATTTCGCAAATCTCTGTAACAGTAATATCCTTGTTTTGCTCCAACAGGAAAAATAATACTCCTAGAAATCAATTACTACAGGACATACAAACACACTTGTTTGTAGAGGCACTGCAGTTGTTAGAAATAAAATATCTTCACAATCCAGAACCATGGAGGTATTTGATCCAGTATATACAATTCTTTACTAAATATTCACATTTTTGCATAGCACAAAGCCAGAATAAAAAGATAGTACTACTCTTGCTGCATGCAACCTTGTACCGCCATCTAACAACAAAGGAACAGCTTCACCCAAGTTGCAGGACTCAGTTTGTCAGCCTGAGCTGATCTGGTGAATATAAAAATGATGAAACACCATTAGTGTCATTTAATATGTTCTTTCTTCACTGTCCGCCCATCTCTTTTTTTTTTTTTTTTTTTTCTTTTTGGACGTGACAGTAGCCAAGAGATGAACTGCAAAATACTTTTCATTACACAATCAAGTCATATTTAGGCTTCATGACTGTGCACACTTATCATCATGATAGTAATTAATAAAGGCAAGAAATTAAAGAAACACGTGAAAAAAAGACTGAAATAAAAGACAGCATACATAATTCAGAAAGCAGGTTCCAACTTCATGCTGTGCATTAGGTTCTGGCTGTAAACAATCCTCCACAAGGGACAGGAAGTTTTTGTGAACTGCAAGAATATCTTCAATATTTGAAAACAACATCTGCAAAAGAATAAAACATACATAAGTGAAACATCAGATACAAAACAGAACGAAAAATGCAATTAGGAGACTAACCTTAACTGTTTCTTCTGTGACATTTTTATCCACTTTGGCTGCAGCACATTGGATCATTCGGTGAAGAAAAGCCTGCATGAAACAAGACAAATAAGGAAAATGTTATTTCAGGAAGACTTGAACAACTTCTGGCATGTTATGCTTTAATTTGTTTCCCAAACTGGGTATAGAGCCACATCAGAATATTATTCAGAATCTAAAACAAGCTCTTTATTTATAAATCATTTAGTAGTTCAGTTATTCTAACATGATAGAAAGACCTATCTACACAGTGTTAAAAAGAGTAAAATATTAATGAAGCTGAGAAACTGAACATTCTCTGAAGTACCACTTCCATCCTGCACTCATATTAGAATCAAGCAAGAGAAAAATGTATTAATTTTGAAAATCTCATCTATTACTTTACAAATTGAGCACAAGGCAAGCCAAAATAAGATGCTAATTTCCAAATTAAACTAATCAGAAGATACTGTTATGTCATGTAACTTTTACCATAGCAACCAAAAGTCAGATTTCAGACATATTAATAAACAAACTTATTGTAAAGTAAATTGGCTTAAACAATAGTCAGCTGCACCTGCTTTTGCTTACTGAAAACTCTTCCTTCTTCCTTACCCAAGAACCTAATCCCCAGGGGTCAAATGAGAAGTTAGTAATACCATCAATGAAATACCAAAATTGTATGTTTTCTTTTATTTTATATTCAAGAACTGGACACAAAAAGAAGACATGTACATTAAGCAATTCCTAAAGAAATCACATGTACAAAGAGCAGAATTAATTTTTATTAATTCATTTCATTACAAAGATATTGGTATGTCCTAAAAAGTATCTACAAACTGTAGACTAAAATCTTACATTGATAATTCTTCACACAGACATGCATATTCTTTCGTCATTAAAACCTGGCACCATGAGTGCACAAATGTCATGTCTTTCATAACCATTTAGCTCCGAGACACTGTGCATTGTACACTGTACATGAGCTCATCTAAATTCTGGCGTGGTGCAAATTCCATAACAGAGGCAATAAATAACCCCTGTGTAGCAGTCACAGCAGCCCTTTTTGCCCTCTGCTGGGACTTAAACATTTTTATTCCCAAGCAATGCTCCTTTCTCTGCTGAAGAGGACTATGTAACTGGCATTACACATTTTTATTACTGAAGAGTCAAGTCTAGTTATCCAGGACATAAACTGAATTAAATCTGGAATACTGCCAGCACACTGTATGTTTCCTATTGCTCTGTACAACGATGTAGGTTTTCTAGTTCATTAAACCCGTCTTTTTCCTGACTATTTGTGCTTTCTTTTTAATGTTTTACTGGTGCTAAAAAAATGCCATTAACTCATTTGCAGCAGTTAACTGATGGTGGACGACAGCCCTTTACATCATTCCTTGCTAAGAATAGCCCCAGTGGTTATGGCAAATTTGCTGCGTGCATTATCTCCACAACCAATCCCACAACGGGTGAAAGCCTGCATGACTCTTAGTTAAATTTTGGAAGTTTTCACTAAACCATGCAACACCATTAAATATGCTTTAGAATCAAAGTGGAAAAAAGAATTATAAGAACTACCTCTGAAACTCACATCTATTTTTACCATCTGTAATTTCTCTCTGTTCACATTATTTCCCCATAGACCAAACATACTGCTCATCTGCACTTATGTTATCTAAGAAGATCTTCATTTCCTGTAACTCTGAAGGAAGGTGAACATTAAGTTGGCTGATAGTGAAACTAAGAAGGAACTGAGTGCTGAGGCATTAGTTATTCCCAAGTGATTCAAGATACTAGATGGGAGTCATGAGGTCAAGAAGAGAATATATCAGCTGCAATAAACAGTTGTCCAAGCAGCACTGTCCCAGACATCACATCTGCAGAGGTTATCAGAAAATAAATCCAGGAAAATCCAAACTTTTGCAGAGCCCAGACACAAATCACTAATTAAGGCAGGGAGGCCTGGGACAACTTCGGTCCCTTCCTGCAGCTTCTTGGAAGCCCCTGCAATACTCTGCTGTGCTCATTCTGCAGGGGTAGTGCAGTCATGAGGCCAGTTTTTGCCCTGAGATTTGCCACCTGTTCACAGTATCATGGAATCATAGAATGGCCTATGGGTTGGAAGGGACCTTAAAAACCATCTAGTCCCAATCCCCCTGCTGTGGGCAGGGACACTTTCCACTAGACCAGGTTGCTCAGCACTCCATTGTTCTTCCTATCAGTGCACATTTGCTTCCTGAAAAAAAAAATCATTGTGCTGTGTCTCAAAAAGCAATGCATGTGAGAATTTGAATTTTTCAGGCACTTACCTGAAGTTCTACAAACTGCACATATTGCAAAATAATTTGAATAATTCACATTTTCTAGAAGAGTAGTGTTAAGAGAATTGAGGGGAGCACAGGTAGGGATGGATGTGTCTACCTCCAAAACTGATCCCTTGTGGAGTTCACCCATTGTGGAGTGAATAATGCAAAGAATTGATGAAACCCAGGTTTCCAGGACATAAATCCCCTTATCAACTCCCTTCCTGGAGCACAGAGACACCACAGACTCCACATACCTAACACCTCTGCACTAGTACTTTGCCAGGGAGAATGGACAGCCATCAATCAGGCAAGAGGATGGAGAAGTAATTGCTTTTTTTAAAATTTAAAATAACCTCAATCCAGCACTGCAACTATGAAAAGACTAATGTCTCTGAACTCACATAAACACACACGTCTCAGAGAGGGCTGATTGCTCATAAAATCTCCAGAACTATTTAGGCATCAACTGAGGACAACCATAAGCATTTCTGCAAAAATTAGTAAGCAGAGAAAAAGCAGGCAATTTGCAGATACAACTGTAAGGAGGACCCCAGCAGAGAAATTACAGACTTTAAAAGGAAAATATATAAGGATGGACAGAAACTACTCAGGAGCTGTCAGTTAATGGAAAGAAACAATTATATAAGCTTTTGAAATTATACCACGTAAACTCTAATCAACCATAGAAAAAACACATCTCTAAAAATATAAAAGTAGAACGGACACCTCAGCCAATTTGCAATTCACTAAAGAAATGGACACATAAAAAACCAAAAAATAAAAAAACCAAATCAAGAAGTCAGGAACTCCTCTGAAATAGCACTGAGTTCCTTCTAAAACTTACTAAAGTATTTCAAGCATGAGACTCCAAGTCCGCACTCATTACTGAGCACCACATTAAATGAAGGAGCAAAGCAATTACAAATGGCAAGGAAACAATAGAATAGATCCTGTTCCTGGACTGACCAAACAACTGTAGGAATCAATGGTTGTACATGATTTCCACGCTTACAAAAAAGCAAAAAACCAACAAAATCACCAAAGTGAAAAACCAGTTCGAACCTAATACAATTTCATCAAACATACATGTCAGAAAATCATAGCACTACATCAAACACAGAGAATAACAAATGACTGTGCTCTCCAGGATCCCAGAGCAATGTCACATAGACAGGGATCCTCAACTTTCTCCAAGCTTTTCAAGCAGAGATTCCCTTAGTTCTTAATTTTCTCAACAGCAAAGACAAATGATATAAAACAGAATATAATTCTCTAGATCTTCACTTTGTGCCACCAGCATTCTATCCACCTTGCTATAGTATAGGGATTCAACCCTGCAGCACAGGAAACAGCAATTCCTGGCACTCTCTGCCAGCCAGACCATTGGCGATTTCTCTTTTAAGACATCTCCACACAACTTTTCAGAGCAGAAGCTTGTCTGGGTACCATAAAGAGCAGTTTCAATTTCAAAGACCAGATGAAAAGCAAACATAAATGAGGATGTTTGTTACCCACATTAAGAAAACAACACCCACTTTTGTTTGTCAGTTTTTAGAACTGTTTATGGAAAACTGTGTCACTCTAGGAATATTCTTGAGTCACTCAGAGAGCCACAACTCCTGCCTCCACAAAGCTTGGCACTCAAATTACAAACCTAAATTTCTAAAGCATCCTCCCAGAATCTTCATCAACACAAAATGGCATCTGCATGATCAGCACATATCTTCTTTGGAGAAGAAATACCCTAAAATGCTGACAAAATTCTAAATATGGAGAGTCACATGGTAAGAAGTTTTATGATCTTTGTAAGTCTCACAAACTTGAAGATGAAAACATGGGGGTCCAACTAAGTCCTTTGGAATAGGGGAGCAACTACATAGGAAATATATAAGATAACAGTTTAGTGCTAAAGTTCCCTGACTCCATTCAGGTCCTATTGGGAACATAAAAATGCCCCTATTTTTGGCTGTGACTCAGGGTCCCTGAACCACGGTGGTGTAGAGAAGAGTAACTCCCCTCAACTTTTAGCATGGAGATGATTCCATGCTAATAATAGCTACGAAGCTAATTACACACTTGGTTCATCTTACCTGCAAACTGTTACATACTTTCTGCACTATTCCCTGGTCTAATTCTTTTACCCTTTGCCTGGCATTGCAGTAACACAATACAGGAAGCAATGGGCATGAAAATTAAATCATTAAACACTGAAAATCCAAATTCAACTAATTATAAAAGAATTTGTTCATTATGACAAATAAAAACTAGCGGTTTTGCCTGTCTGCTGATCAGCTGCCATTTTGTGAGGCAGCATTTTTTTACAGAGAACACACACTGGGTTCCTGTTATGGGGATTTTGACTTCTGGTCTTATCAAAATAAGAGTTGCATTGTTTGTCGTTTGGTGGGATTTTTTTCTTGATGGTTGCTCTGTGTTTTGTTGAAAAAAACAAAACATAACAAAACAAAAAACTACCACTGCTACAGATAGCACAAGGAGCTGCCAACAGCACAAATGACTTCTCTGACATCTGGAATGAAATCAGGGAAAACAAAGAAGTCTGCCTGCAGAAGACTCCCAGGGCACAAAGAGTTTTTTGCCTTCTTTACAGATAAAAAGTGCAGAAATTATGTCAGAGCTCATGGATCACAAAAGATAGGTAACCATCTTTCTGAAAGTAATAATCCTACTTGGGATTAAGCCTATAAATATATATTGGGTTTTATCCAAAAAAAAATATTAAATAGTTAGTCATTTTTTCCCCTC